TGTTTTTTAAAGGGGGTGGGGGGAAGCCCCCCCCCCCCCCCACCCCACCCCCGAAGAGCTGCATGGAAGAAACTCTGAATGTGAAGGTCAACAGTACCGCTTCTTTTAGCATTAAACAAATCTAATGAGTAAATAAAAAAATTAAGGAAAAAAAAGCGAAACAAATACATATTTAAAAGTTGTTTGGCCTTACTTCAATATTCTGCTAAATAGGTGTGTAATTTCTTTTAATTAAATCAGTGGCGGAACTAGAAATCAAAGGCTCCCCCGCAAAGAAAAAACTAGGGCCCCCTAATATATATATATATATATATATATATATATATATATATATATATATATATATAGGAGGCCATATATATATATATATATATATATATATATATTTATATATATATAATCTATATCCAGAGCAATTTAGTCTACTTCCTTGGAATATATAACCATTCTGAGAGAACAAATCAGAAAAAATTTAGTCCAAACTTATTTTGAGCAAAGCGAGTGACATACACATGCTGGTCAAAAATATATAAAGACGTTAGCTTGATTCGTGAATGGTTTCTCGCGTTATGTTTTTTTTTTCATTTTTGGCTTTTTTAATATCAATTTTGAAAAAAATGATTTTTTATATTATACTATTGTATAGTACGTCTTATTTAAGTAACAATTCAGAGAATCAATTGCTTTGTAATATACATAGTACAAAACTATTTAAATGAGCTTCGTGGGCATCCCTGTTTTAAAGAAGGGCAGTAAGTCATGGAAGTAGTGTGAATGTTTGCGTACCTTTCAAACTATAGCTCTTGTAGATTTTAAAATATTTTTCTACGCAACAATCTCTGCTATAGTAGACCTGTTTTTTTTTTTTTCTGTTTTTTTTACAAAACCACTTTCAAGATGCATGAAAAACATAATTTTTTGGTCGGAACTGGGCCCCTAAACGTCCTGGGCCCCCCCCCCCCCCCCGCATTGCGGGGGTCTGGCGGTATGGTAGTTCCGCCCCCTGATTTAAATACAATTGCATCATGAAAAACATTTCCCTTGACTAATGACATTATTGATCGATTATCTTAGTGAATATTAAAAGAATAGTTTTTTTTCTCCTTGCGCATGAATTTCTACAAGAATTTTTAAACCCCATAAAAATGCTCCCTCTTCAACCCTCTGAAGTTTCAAATACTACCTTCCCGCGCAAAACCGTATCATATAAAAAATTTTCAAATAATAATTGTTTTCTCATGAATTTTATATAATCAAGGGAGACAATCCAATACTATGTTAAAAATTATAATAATTTAAAACAAAGACATTTAAGTTTAGCAAGAAAAGTAATTTATATAACATGTTTCTTATTTTACTTAGCATTAATATTTATAATTTTATACACATGTTTGACTTGTATCCATTTAGTTTGTTTTCAGATTTATAATTTGATTCTAATTTAAATAGTCAACGGTAAGCTTTTTGAACACTAGGCCCACTTAATTTTGAGAGATCCTTTACTAGTTATAATAGCTTAGGATCGCTTTAGAAGCATTTTCATTTCAAGAGGAATGGAACTTAAACAATTATGGCAAAAGCATTGAAATTCGCATCTTATACCTCAAAAGTGTTAGCTAATGGAAGTGCTTAAATACTCTCACTTCAAAAAAAACACCTGTTACTCCATTGAAGCAATGTATTTCAAAAAAATAACAGCAGCGTTTCTGAAAATCTATCTGCATCTTCAAGGGCATACAGCACGCTTTCATCAGTTATAAGGCCAGCCTTTCATTCGAAAGGATGCTGCTGTCCTATGTGCTCTAAGACTGGTGTTGCACCTTTCAGTACAGAAGTGGACAAAAATTTTTCCAAATTTTTTGACAAAAGAAAATTGAATACGAACAGTCTAAAGGAAGTACCAGCCTGCCGAAGATTCTAGGATTTGAAATTGTTGCAAACGGAGGTGATGTCACTTTAACAAAAACAAGTGGGAAAGAAAAATTGTAGTGAAACTGAATGTTAATGGTGCTATGGACTGTGTCATGGTCAGAGAATCCCACTGATAAAGAAAATGATCCACCTCAAATGATCTGTAGACCACCCTTTGATATTGAGATCAGTAAGGGGGATGGGAAAAAGTTGGTGATTGAGTGTTCTTTTGCTCAAAATGATAGCTCATACATCGATGAGGAGGCATCTTATGACAAGAGCAGAGAAACAGACCAAATAGATGATAAGTTCGAGATTCGTGAAATTTCTTTCCAAGATGAGGGATCTACAGATGGAGGGTACACTGTTTCAGCCTCAACAATGGATGCTGAGCTCTTTGACCTGCTGATCGATATGCTGGATGAGTGTGGCATCAATGATGAGTTTATTGTCTACTTGGTAGACAACTGCACAGCTTATGAGAACAGCTTATATACGAGAAAGTAAAAATCAATCATTAACAATTAATGAAACCTAGCGAGTGCAGCAGTCACCTATCAGATCAATCCCCACCCAGACGGCAGCTGGGGTGTGCTCCGGACACCAGCACCGCCGTAACAGCTCCGTGACCCTGTACTGCGGTGTGAAAAATGACCCGTCACTTGATACCTGGGAGGTGAATTATACCTTTGTCCACAGGTGAGAAATCTTCTAGGTCATATTAACATTAAGCCACTCTACCTGGTAAGCCTTGTAGTGTATGCATTGTTCAAGGGAGACAAGACAGAATATACTTCATTACGATATTAAAAAAAAAGCCACAGTCTTCGCTTTTTAGCTAGAGAACGCTACAGAACAAAATAGACCAAGAAGTTAGTGTTAGTCTAAACTAAGACCTCGATTTTTGTCAACAACAAAGCCGCAACTTTTGTTAATGTGATGAAGTCAAAAAGTGACACGTAGATGACAAACAGACAGACAGACTAACAGTGGACTAAGACCCGGTCCGTATTGCGGCGTAATGGAGCAGTCTGGTAAAGTGCAAAGTCTGCCGTCCAACTCAGGTATTATTTTGTTTGTAGGCCTATTTATACTGTTTGTTTCGTTTCATTAGATTTATTTATAATATTCAACATATTTTACAAATACAGCTTTAAGTATTTATTTTATGAAAGATTTTAAATATATATGTATTATTATTTAGTGATTTCAAATAAAATATGTGTCAAAAATTGTTGTCGACATTTGGGTTAGTATAAAACATAAATTTGATGTAGATTTCTTAAAATGCTCAATCTACTGAAGTGAAATTCAATTTAAATCGAGCGACTGCGCTATCTTTTTACTTTCTCGTATATACGAAGTATAGAGAAAGTCTTGTAACCGTGCAAAAAAAAAAATCGAGATTTTTTACAAATCTCGACGTTTTACACCTCACTGATACGGAAAAACGTAATTTTGCAATCTTGTCCGTATGTCTGTGTGTCTGTCTGTCTGTCTGTCTGTCCGTGTGTAAACACGATAACTTGAGTACCGTTACAGCTAGGTTGATGAAATTTCATATATAAGTATTTTATCAAAATCGTAGATCCGTATCTTTTGAGCGATTTCCGATAACCGGAAGTGGTACTTTTCCTACTTTGAATTTTTCAAAAGCCTATAACTTGAGTACTATTTCAGATAGATAAATGAAATTTGATATGTAAGTAAAAGATCTAATTCTCTACCTTCTGTTAAATTTTGAGTAATTTCCGTTGACTGGAAGTAGTACTTTACGCTACTTCCGATTTCTCAAAAAACTAATGTAAATTTTAAAAGTACTAATAATATTGCGCACTATTATGCGCTTTTTTATTTGGCGTTCACTTGGTGTGCAATTAATTTGTCTACGAGATTTTATTCTATTTTTAAAACTTTAAGTATTTAAAATGGATTAAAAATCATGTCTATAGCCCGAGTTCCCATCCCCTGTTATTTTATATAAGAATATTCGAGAAAGTTTAGGGGAGATCACTCCCGGTTTATTTATTTTCAATTGAAGTTTTATATAAATCTTGAGACTGCGCTATCTTTTATCAATTGAAGTTTTATGTATATCTAGCGACTGCATTGGCTTAGCGAGGTCGGGTGTCACCCGGTGCGGCACTTAATGCTGTCACCCCCCAGAGGCGTAGCGACCCTTCCTGGGGAGAAATTTTCGATTTGCACCCCCCCCCCCCCTCAAACTTTCGATTTGCACCTCTTAAAAGACTATTTAACACTCGAATTAATCACTTAATTAAGTGGAATTATCATTTTTCTCTATATATTTTGCTATTTTTTTTGCCTTGGTGTTAACCCCTAAATGGTGTCACCCGGTGCGGTCCGCACCCCCCCCCCCCCCCGCCTCCCCCCCACCCCCCCCCCCCCTCGCTACGCCTCTGAGCGACTGCGCTATCTTTATCAATTGACGTTTTATATAAATCTAGAGACTGCGCTACCTTTTATAAATTGAAGTTTTATGTATATCTAGAGACTGCGCTTTTATCAATTGAAGTTTTATATAAATCTAGAGATTGCGCTTTTATCAATAGAAGTTTTATATATATCTAGCGGCTACGCTATCTTTATCAATAAAAGTTTTATGTATATCTAGAGACTGCGCTTTTATCAATTGAAGTTTTATATAAATCTAGAGACTGCGCTATCTTTTATCAATTGAAGTTTTATGTATATCTAGAGACTGCGCTATCTTTTATCAATTGAAGTTTTATACAAATCTAGAGTCTACGCTATCTTTTATCAATTGAAATTTCATATAAATCTAGACACTGTGCTATTTTTTTATCAATTAAAGTTTCATATAAATCTAGCGACTGTTTTATCTCCAACTTGGACATCATGGCTGTCTGGTCCACGGTTTTCAGTGTACAGCTGTCAGTTCCTGTCATCTTGGGTGAGTGTCACTTATGTGTGTGTCAATAGTTCTTCGCGCGTGTCATTTGTCTGTTACAGGTGTCTTATTCAATGGTGTGTCGTTTGTGTATCAAAGGTGTGTTACTGTCGTGTTGCTGGTGTGTCACTCAGTGGTGTGTTACCCTGCAGATTCAGGAAGTTTGACGACACATTTTTTCATTCTAAAACGTATTGTGTGAAATTTTAGCCGTTATTTATTTTACTTTTTTTTTTTAACGGGGACGGAATGGTCTAGCGGTAGAGAGCTGGACTTCTAACCCGTGTGTCTCGAGTTCGACCCGGGTTCTAGTCAGTAGACCGTCCCTGAGTCCACCCAACTATGATGGGTACCTAACTCACGTTAGGGAAAGTAAAGGCGGCTGGGCATAGTGCCGACCACACTATCCCCCCCATATATCGAGGTCAAAGAAACAAGCGAACTCTACTTCACTTGCCCTATAGACCGTCAGATATGAAAAGGGAACTTTTACTTTTTATTTAAAACAAGTTAATTAAAAAGTCTAGTGACATTTAAGCGCAATTTCCTTATGTTATCTAAAAATAGCTCTGTCGTAGCGTAAATCAAGAGCAGGGTTAGTAAGACCATTGGTTAAAATACATGTTTTATTTACAATATAGTTACATGACTAAAAACCATTGCGCGCCTAGCTACTGAACGTGATGACGCAGCCATTGAACGTGATTGCGCCGCTATTGAACGTGATGACGCGTGTGGTGTGGTTGGAAAAAATGCCTACTAATTCGGTCAAAATTTTAATTAATTCAAAATTTTTTTTTGTGACCGAACGAAAGGATATTTTTGAAAACTTTCTTCGGCAATATTGTTCTAAATTATGGCAGGAATCGATTGGTACATGTTTCAAGTCGCTAAGTTGTCTGGTTGCCGAGATATGGACCAAAAACTGATTTTTTTCGAGGTTTTTTGGCTTTTCCGGGAAATCCATGAAAGAAACCCGGAATTTTTATGGCCTATGCTCATCCTCGTAACTTACTTAACATAATTGCTTTTGGAACTAGTCATCGATATTGCTTCGTTGAGGAGGAGATACGACTTAAAGCTGCGGACACACATTCATACATTCATACATCCATCCATTCATCCATCCAGAAATGACGGGTTAATAAACGCAATTCTCCAGAATGGAAATTGCGCTAAAAATAAAAAAATAAAAAGTAATTGTATATCGTAATAGAAATTGACCAATAAGCCCAATGGGGTCGAGCCAAATAAGAGAAACGGTGCTGTTTTAAAAAATTGCAATCTTTAGGGGGTTTGGGTGGTAGGCTCAGTAGGCTGTAGTGTACATCATGTTATAGGGGTGAGGGTGTCTGGCTTTTTGTGACGATGTGTGACGATGGGCATTTGGGGATGTAAATATCGTTTGAAAAGGTGTAACATCGTTTATGCATCGCCTCTTACACGTGCGGCCATTATATTTATCCATGAACGGGTGTGAATTTCAAAAGCTAAAACGTAGGCTATTGCAAGTGTATTTGCTAAAATTGCCAAACATGGAAGTTGAATATTTTTTACTTAATCTTTGTATCAGTCAGGTCGAATGTGGTCTTTTTTCATGGGGCTTTACCTAGCCTCTATATCCGCGGAGTCCACTCAACCTAGCGCTACCTACGGATTAGCAAGAGGTGGCGCTGTTCTACTATGTGGAGCTTTTATTGGCGACTGGGTCGACGTCACGCCTAGGTTAAAAGGTAATACTAAATTACAGTACTCGGTGTTACTTACTTGAAAACGTTGTTGCTGCTTTTCTTTTTTTTTTTTCTTTTTGAAATTATTAGATTTGAACAAATGCGTGCGAAATTAAATTTAAAAAAAAAACATTTAAATATTGTCGAACAAATTAAAAAAAAAAATATTTGTAAATTAAATGTAGCTGTGGTTAAAATGTATCCTGAACAGCTGCGACCATGATCATGATTCTCCAGAATGTGTTGGTGATGGCGTGTTCTGGCACCATCCTGATCACGGCCCTGTGTGGGGGCAGGGAGATGCTGTACCACGTGTACGTCCCCGTGGTCTGTCTGTCCGTGCTGTCCCGCCTCATGAAGGAGGGGCGGGTCCTGGTGGTGGAGAGGGACTGGGTGGTGGAGCTGTGTTCTAGGGAGGAGCATCATCTGGCAGGTGAGACAGTTATTGTGTGTGTGTGGGGGGGGGGGGGGGGGGGGCTGGGGGGTGGAGCATCACCTGGCAGGTGAGACATTTACTGTGTGGGGGGGGGCTGGGTGGTGGAGCTGTGCTCTAGTGAGGAGCATCATCTGGCAGGTGAGACAGTTACTGTGTGTATGGGCTGGGTGGTGGAGCATCATCTGGCAGGTGAGACAGTTACTGTGGGGGGGGGGGGACTGGGTGGTGGAGCTGTGCTCTAGGGAGGAGCATCATCTGGCAGGTGAGACAGTTACAGTGTGGGGGGGGGCTGGGTGGTGGAGCTGTGCTCTAGTGAGGAGCATCACATGGCAGGTGAGGCAGTTACTGTGTGTATGGGCTGGGTGGTGGAGCATCATCTGGCAGGTGAGACAGTTACTGTGGGGTGGGGGGGGCTGGGTGGTGGAGCTGTGCTCTAGGGAGGAGCATCATCTGGCAGGTGAGACAGTTACTGTGTGTATGGGCTGGGTGGTGGAGCATCATCTGGCAGGTGAGACTGTTACTGTGGGGGGGGGGGGTGGTGGAGCTGTGTTCTAGGGAGGAGCATCATCTGGCAGGTGAGACATTTACTGTGTGGGGGGGGGGCTGGGTGGTGGAGCTGTGTTCTAGGGAGGAGCATCATCTGGCAGGTGAGACAGTTACTGTGTGTATGGGCTGGGTGGTGGAGCATCATCTGGCAGGTGAGACAGTTACTGTGGGGGGGGGACTGGGTGGTGGAGCTGTGCTCTAGTGAGGAGCATCATCTGGCAGGTGAGACAGTTACAGTGTGGGGGGGGGCTGGGTGGTGGAGCTGTGCTCTAGTGAGGAGCATCACATGGCAGGTGAGGCAGTTACTGTGTGTATGGGCTGGGTGGTGGAGCATCATCTGGCAGGTGAGACAGTTACTGTGGGGTGGGGGGGGGGCTGGGTGGTGGAGCTGTGCTCTAGGGAGGAGCATCATCTGGCAGGTGAGACAGTTACTGTGTGTATGGGCTGGGTGGTGGAGCATCATCTGGCAGGTGAGACAGTTACTGTGGGGTGGGGGGGCTGGGTGGTGGAGCTGTGCTCTAGGGAGGAGCATCATCTGGCAGGTGAGACAGTTACTGTGTGTATGGGCTGGGTGGTGGAGCATCATCTGGCAGGTGAGACAGTTACTGTGGGGGGGGGGACTGGGTGTTGGAGCTGTGCTCTAGTGAGGAGCATCACATGGCAGGTGAGGCAGTTACTGTGTGTATGGGCTGGGTGGTGGAGCATCATCTGGCAGGTGAGACAGTTACTGTGGGGTGGGGGGGGGGGGGGGGCTGGGTGGTGGAGCTGTGCTCTAGTGAGGAGCATCACATGGCAGGTGAGGCAGTTACTGTGTGTATGGGCTGGGTGGTGGAGCATCATCTGGCAGGTGAGACAGTTACTGTGTGTATGGGCTGGGTGGTGGAGCATCATCTGGCATGTGAGACAGTTACTGTGGGGGGGGGGGGGGAGGACTGGGTGTTGGAGCTGTGCTCTAGGGAGGAGCATCACCTGGCAGGTGAGACATTTAGACATTTACTGTATGTGTGTGTGTGGGGGGGGGGGGGCTGTGCCCTAGGGAGGAGCATCATCTGCAGAGTTTCTTCCAGGCATCTCTTCGGGGGGGGGGGGGGGGCTTTTTACCGCCCCCCCCCCCCCCCCCGAACGAAATGAAATTTATATAATTTATATAGAAAATATATACTTGTAACAGTGTCCGCCCCCCCCCCCGAAAATTTCAAGTGCCCCCCGGAGAAAAAAGTCTGGAAGAAACACTGATCATCTGGCAGGTGAGTGGGCGGGAGTGGGGGTGGTTGTGGTGCTAATCTGTAGAGAGGAGTGTCACCTAAAAAATTACAAGTAAAAAATGTGCTGGTTTTCCATTACACCAACCTCTAAAAACACCTTCGTTGGCTTGCAGTTATATACCACTAAAGTGATCACTTTTCTTTTTTTTTAGAACGGACTAACAGTAGTTAATTTTAAAACACATGACTTAAAACTTTTGGTTGTAGTTATGACGTCATCCTTCCGTCGTATCGATCTCCTGACCAAGATGCTGGCGCCAATTGTGACGGGTCACGTGATGGGGTACGCTGGCATCAACATGGGGTGTGTGTTGATCATCGTCTGGACCTCAGTGTCCCTTGGGGTGGAATATTACCTCATCAGGCGAGTCTACAGCCTCGTTCCCGTCTTGATGGAGAAGAAAAACATTGCTGGCAGTATGGGTAAGCCTTGAGCAAATAAATACCTTCTTAAAATATGAAGTTCATTATTCTTTGTTCTTAATTGTAATATCGTAGGGGATTTTCCCCAAAGCTATTAAGTATTTCGAGCCAACATGTTATGCGCCAGATGGCCCGTTGACTCTGACTTGATCATGATTTTCTTTCTGGGTGAGCTTTCATAACCTGTGTCAAAATTGGACAATCTACAAGGCAGTTTAATTTTGGAGTTGTCGCCCCTAGATAAGTTGCTGTACCCAGCTATTGAGCCTCATCTGTTGGTAGTTCAAATTCGGGAATTTTGGAGTTGAAAACCATGAACAAATGTCAGGCTATATTTGCCTAGGATTGGAACTCGGTGTGTCGTTAACCGAAAGACCAATTCAATGTGTTAAAACTTTAAACTTCATTAAGTTCAATTTATGAACGGAGAGCTTATGGAAGTATATAGACCAAACAATAATTATTTTTAAAAGAAACCTAATCAGGCAACAACTCCAGCTCACGGAAATTGACTTCTTCAACAGGTTTAAATGGTGAGAAGAACCACAGTTTGTTAAATACAGATTTGACGTCTTTGGAGGAAGAAGACACATCATCCAGGGATCTGGCACAAACCAGGGTAAAATATAGACCTACATCTGCTTTTGTAGGGACATGGTGTTTTTTAAACGTAGCTCAATGAACAGATTTGCCAGATTGGGATTATTTGTAAAATAGGGTTCGTTTATTTAAAAAAAAATTACAACAGTTAGTTTAGACATACCCAGAGTACAATAGACATACTTGAGAGTACAGTAGAAATACATGTGGGTGCAAAAGATATTCCTGAGGCTACAATAGACACACCTGATGGTAAAATGAACGTATCTCATGGTACAATAGACATACATGATTGTGCATTAGGCATACCTGTGGGTACAATAGACATATCTGTGGGCATAATAGACATCTGTACATACATTCGACACACCTGAGATTACAATACCTAAAAGTACGTTGACAACATGTTATATAGGAATATCACTAAAATCATGTACCGCGTAATAACCATTACGCAACTGGTTCCCCCCCCCCCCCCCTACAAATGTCACTCAAAGTGAGCAAGAGGGAGCAGAACCATATAATACCATTTTATTCCCCAATGTTTGGCTAAATCTCTCTCTCTAATCGTGATCGTTTTCTAATGTACTGATTCAACTAACCATTCTGTAACATTATCTCTATCAACTATTTGCCAGAATGGAAAAGCTGTACCCAAGTGCAAATGCGCTGATGGCGTCACCAAACGAATTTTCGCCCAGTTTCTTGTACTGTATCGCGGGTTCAAAACTTACGTGGCATATGACGTCGTCTTCGCCGGACTGGCTTTAGCATCACTTTATCTCACCGTGCTTGGTTTTGATGAGATAACCATTGGTGAGTTATGTGATGAGATAACAATTAAAGAGTTATTTAGTTAAATTATCGATTAGAGAGCTCGTGTAGAGTTAGACTTGAAGATGTAGGCATACATTTTAGAGAGGAATATGATACAGAAACGTAAACTCTAATGCCACAAAAATTGTAGGCTCGAGTCCCTCAAACTAGAGTCGACTCAGCTCTAATAGGTACCTGATTCTTGTCGTGGAAAGTAACAGTGGACATGGTGCTGACCACACACTCCCTTCACATAACGAGGTCAGAATCTACTTTATCCGCTTTGTAAACCTGCAAATATAGAAGGGTGCCGTATTTGTTTTTTACTTAGATTAGTTGTGAATCAAATTTAAACACAGAGACCACACCGTTGAATCTCAACAGCTTTGCTCTGTCACAGGTTACGCCACATCACAAGGCTTGGACGAGTCTCTGCTAGGCACCCTGATGGGCGTGGGCGCAGGTTTTGGTATCATCGCCACCTTCACATACCCCTACATAGTCAGGAGGGTGGGGCTACCCTACACGGGCGTCATGGCGCTAGGTTTGCAGGTATGAAGTAGTTTCATTTTACACCTTTCAGTGTGTATAAAAGTAGTGCTAATATGTTTCAGTTACCTTGGTATGTATGTAAAGGGATAGAGTGGTCAGTGTTCTTTGCGCTTGTCGCATTTATCTTTCCCTAACGCAAGTCAGATACCCATTAGAGTTGGGTGGACTCATGGACATCTTATACATTTAAGCGCTGGATCCGAATTCGAGAATTCGACCACGCCGTCACACTAGGTTTGAATAAGGCACGGTTCATTTTGTTTATATTTATTTAGAAATAAGACAAAATGAATCATTAAAGAGGTCGTCTTGGTCTAGTCGGTGAAGCTCACGCTTGCTAAAACGAAAAGTCCCGAGTTCGAACCCCTAGGTCAATAAGGTTCGGTAGCTGGGGACAGCAACCCATCTAGGAGAGACAACTACAAAATCAAACAACTGCTGCCTTGTAGTTTGTTCTTGGGTGGACAAAGGTTCAGAAAGCAATTCTAAAAATTAAAGCAGGCTGACATCGGAGTCTACGGTCTATATGATGCATAACATGTTGTCACGTATCACTTAACTGTGTTGGAGGAAATCACTTCCAACATTACAATTAAGAGCGAAGAAGTAGAATATCATTACATTTATTATTACAGCTAACGAACTTCTTTGGTCAGTGTACCGACCCGCATGTCTGTTTTAGGTCTTGTGTTTAACCTTGTGCGTCATTGCCGTCTGGCTACCCGGAAGTCCTTTCGATCTCACTTTGGAAACCAACATAGACAAAAACACGGAACTGAACTCTTCTGATACAAGATACAACTCTTCCAGTACCGTGTACATCAAGCCAATACATACATATATCAATACAAGCAATGTATCAGTGGACTACCCAATGGATATCTTAGGGAATTCGACATCTCTGAATGTTAGCGCGCTCAACGCTGAGAGAAACATCACGCGGACATACAGAACAGAGGCAACTGTATCTATCTGGGTCATGATGGCTGGGGTGGTACTTGCACGGTTTGGTAAGTTGTTTTTTTTTTTAAATTTAAATCTATAATAATTGGCATATTAGGTATAATCATTTTAGAAAGCTGTTTATATCAAAAGGGGACTTCTGTTAAGAACAAATGACGAAAAGAATAGCGCATTTTGTTTAAGTAAATCATACCAGAACTGCTTATGAATAACTAATTAGTAGCATAAAGGCTTTAGCTTTGCTCTGAAATTGTAAATACTGTTCTTCCCTGAATGGCTGGCATAACTGCCACTCACTTCATGCAAATGGCTTAACTTTTACACGATCCATGTAGGTCTTTGGACGGCTGACTTAATTATAACTCAATTCATGTGGGTCTTTAGCAAATAACTCCGAGGCGTAGCGACCCTTCCCGGCGCCTGGGGACAAACTTTCAATTTGGCGCCCCCCCCCCCCCCCCCCCCCCCCCCGGAGACAAACTTTCAATTTGCCCCCCCCGTCCCCAATATTTTTTATATTTATAATGCAAAACTGCAGCTAATATGTGCTTTTAATTTTTTTCCAACCCATTTGGGCGCCCCTAGAGTCGGCGCTCAGGGACAAATGTACCTCCGCCCCCCCCCCCCTCGTTACGCTTCTGAAATGACTTAACCATAACACGATCCATTTTGGTCTTTGGACGGCAGACTTAAATTTAGTTTTTTCAGGTCTATGGACGACTGACTTAACATTAAACTCCACAGGTCTATGGACGGCTGACTTTAAACTCCACAGGTCTATGGACGGCTGACTTGACTTTAAACTCCACAGGTCTATGGACGGCTGACTTTAAACTCCACAGGTCTATAGACGGTTGACTTTAAACTCCACAGGTCTATGGACGGCTGACTTTAAACTCCTCAGGTCTATGGACGGCTGACTTTAAACTCCACAGGTCTATGGACGGCTGACTTTAAACTCCACAGTTCTATGGACGGCTGACTTTAAACTCCACAGGTCTATGGACGGCTGACTTTAAACTCCACAGGTCTATGGACGGATGACTTTAAACTCAACAGGTCTATGGACGGCTGACTTGACCATCACACAGGTCTATGGACGGCTGACTTTAAACTCCACAGGTCTATGGGCGGCTGACTTGACTTTAAACTCCACAGGTCTATGGACGGCTGACTTTAAACTCCACAGGTCTATGGGCGGCTGACTTGACTTTAAACTCCACAGGTCTATGGACGGCTGACTTGACTTTAAACTCCACAGGTCTATGGACGGCTGACTTTCAACTCCACAGGTCTATGGACGGCTGACTTTAAACTCCACAGGTCTATGGACGGCTGACTTGACCATCACACAGATCTACTTGGACGCCGTGGCACCGACACAGCGTGGGATCGTCAACGGGGTGCAGGGGTCACTGAACCAGCTGATGGACCTGGTCAAGTACGGCCTGGTCCACGCGGCGCCCCACCCCCACCAGTTCGGCCTGCTGACCCTCGTCTCCTACACCTTCATCCTCACAGGCTGGGCCCTGGTGTGTCTGTACGCACTCAAAGCAGCCAGGCGCCGGAAATCCGGTTATTAGTCACTGGGACGTGTATGTGTGTGTATGTGGGGGAGGGGGGGGAGATTTTCTTGCAAACTCACATTTTTTTATCTACCAACTGTATATTAACACCCATATTTTCATTGTCAACGTTGTATCAGGCATACATCATCGGTCTTGGTCTGCTAAGTGTCACTGTAGCTAAGCCTACTCACATAAGGGTATTTGTAATTAAAGTCCAAAACCCTACCCCCATCCACCCTCCTGGCAAAGCACGTAGAAATGTAAGAGTAAGAAATAAAATGTTATGTTAAAATACCCTGTTGATTTTTTGTGAGTCTCTGACGTGTTACTCGCCATGTTTCGTTACTTTTTGCTATGTATGGTTCCCTTAGTTCCAATCGATAAAATACAGTATGATCACAGAAACCAACGAAAAACACAGTTATCCAGCAAGAGAGAGTTTTAATTCGTTAGTCTATCAAATATGTCTTTAGTTTTTGCACAAGTTGTGATGAATACATTTGCGCATGTTTCGTTAAATTTTTAAAGAGTTCTGAGATTTTGAAAATCATCAAAAAATTAGTCCTTTAAAACAGTAAATTTTTTTTTCTTCGTTACACTAAAATTTGTCTTCGGTCAGGTAGTTAGGATTAAAAATTTATTTTTTTAAGACAAAGAATAATAATTTTGTAAAATTAAACTCTAATTAAAATTCGAGTTTAAAAAACGCCCTCCGTTGATAAACGTGAATTGTCTGATCGAAGTGATTCACGTTTTTCTCATCATTAACAACATAATGCTGTATGTAAAGTCAACGGAAGGTAAATATTTCTTGTGTTGTGTTCAATGTCATCAAACAGTAACAACATAATGCCGTAGGTCTAGTCAATGGAAGGTAAATATTTTTTGTGATGTGTTCAATCCTCGTCATCAAAGAGTCTCCCATAAGAGAAACACGCCTCGTCAGCCTCTACAGGTTCCTGTGTGTACGGCTTGTCTTTTCTTGAGCTTTTACTCAGAGACACCTGTGGTGGACATTTTTAAATGGCGTTATGTTATATAGTTGTCATATTCTGTTTACTGTTATGTTAACTTTAAAGGATTAAGCAAGAATTTCGTGGGACTGTAGGCCCTACCATTTTAGAAAAAAATTTTCATCGAATGTGATGACTCTGAGTTGGCGATATTTTTCGATAAAATGAATTAAAACATTTGCTAAATCGGGGAATTTAAACCTTTTTTATACGTGATACCAACAAGTTATTAACGTAATCATTAATATTTAGTCTAGAGAAGATGATTAGCTCTGATCAGACAAGATGGATAACTTCAACAAAACAAGTGGGGTAAATCTAACAAGACAAGAGGGATAAATCCAAAAAACAAATGGGATAACTCCAACAAAACAAGAGGGATAACTCCAACATGACAAGAGGGATAACTCAAACATGACAAGAGGGATAACTCAAACATGACAAGAGCGATAACTCCGACAAGACAGATAAAGCCAACAGGTCAAGAGAGATAACTCCAATAAGACAAGTGGGATAACTCCAACAAAAAAAGTGACATAACTACAACTAAACAAGTGGCATATCTATAACCAAACAAGTGGCATAACTCTAACCAAACAAGAGGCATAACTCTAACCAAACAAGAGGCATAACTCCAACATGACAAGAGAGATAACTCCAACATGACAAGAGGGATAACTCCAACATGACAAGAGAGATAACTCCAACATGACAAGAGGGATAACTAAAACAAGACAAGAGGGACACAAACCAAAAGACAAGAGAAATCCACCAATAAGACAAGAAAGACAGGCGACTCAATAAGACACTAACCAAAAGACAGCAGGAAACATTTAAACAATGGACAATGCTAGACGACAAATGAGACAATGGTAGGTGACAAGAAGGACAACTCCAGACAACCAACTCACATCCTCACTGTGGCCTGTTGGAGCTCTCTTGAGTATGTAGCACAGGGGAGAGAACAAGATGTTGATGATAGCCATTCCCCGCATCAGCCTGTGGAAACATAGGACACACATTTGAAACAAGAGATACGATACGGTGATGAACTCAAAACACGAATAATTTTGGTATCATTTCGAAACGTTCTAAAAAAAGAATAATTACATTAATTTAAATATAAACCTTGAAAGCAAACAACACTAATTCAGTATAACAATAAAATTATAATTTTTCTTTTAAAAGCTGTAGCAATATGTTCATTTGTTAATATAAAGAAATTGAAAGCGTTTGAGTTAAATTATAAAAAGTCCAAAGAATATATGGCAAAGACAGGCGTCCCTTCAATAGATAAACTATTATTAAGATCTAAGAAATACTTGTGCAAGTTAAAAATGTTATCTAGCACAGTTGTAGCATTAAAAAAGATTTTAGTTTATCCTTTGCTTGGCAGTAAACAGTTATGTAGGAATGAGCCATGCTATGACAGAATCCAGCATACAAAAAGCATATTTTTTCTTCTTACGTGTACCAAAATAATACAGCCATAGTTTCACATACTGATTGTATTGACACAATGGGTCTCTTTTGAACTTTGGAAGTTCCTTTGAAAGACCTATTTTGTCTTCTATTAATTACAAGCCAGTCTTTAATTCCAAGGGTAATATTGTGGCGGCTATGGTATGGAACAGACAGTTTGACAGGAATGTAGACAGAACAGTTATGTCACACAACTGGCTTGATGGAAAGCTAGCTACAGAATTGTAGTAAGTTGTGCTTTACTTTTTTTTTAATACATTGTATAACGTCTTTAAAAAAGTCGAAAGAAAAATTTACCAAGGAAATCCGATAGATTTCACAATCAGCCCAGCAGTGAGTGGACCTGGGATGGACATCGCAAGAAAGAAAATATTTTATTAGAGTTTTCATGCTTGTTATAGAATACAGAGTGCTATTCTTGTTACAATGCATTCCTGGCATGTATTACAAGTACCCATTTTTAAACCTGGAGATATCGCAACTCGGCCACCCAACCTCAAACCACTCCACACGCAACTCTCAACTCAACCTATACTGTCAACCCAACCACAACCAAATCTTCACATTCAACATCCACCCTCAACCCTTAGCCTCAACCGAACCTGCACTCTCAACCCCCAACCTTAACCCAAAATACACTCTTCCTAATTGTTCCCCTCCCTACTTGGTACCCTCCCTACTAGGTACCCTCCATACTTGTCCCCTCCCTACTTGGTCCCCTCCCTACTTGGTACCCTCCCTACTTGGTACCCTCCATACTTGTCCCCTCCCTACTTGGTACCCTCCCTACTTGGTACCCTCCATACTTGTCCCCTCCCTACTTGGTACCCTCCCTACTTGGTACCCTCCATACTTGTCCCCTCCCTACTTGGTACCCTCCCTACTTGGTACCCTCCATACTTGTCCCCTCCCTACTTGGTCCCCTCCCTACTTGGTACCCTCCATACTTGTCCCCTCCCTACTTGGTACCCTCCCTACTTGGTACCCTCCCTACTTGGTACCCTCCCTACTTGGTACCCTCCATACTTGTCCCCTCCCTACTTGGTACCCTCCCTACTTGGTACCCTCCCTACTTGGTACCCTCCCTACTTGGTACCCTCCATACTTGTCCCCTCCCTACTTGGTACCCTCCCTACTTGGTACCCTCCATACTTGGTACCCTCCATACTTGTCCCCTCCCTACTTGGTACCCTCCCTACTTGGTACCCTCCATACTTGTCCCCTCCCTACTTGGTACCCTCCCTACTTGGTACCCTCCATACTTGTCCCCTCCCTACTTGGTCCCCTCCCTACTTGGTCCCCTCCCTACTTGGTACCCTCCATACTTGTCCCCTCCCTACTTGGTACCCTCCCTACTTGGTACCCTCCATACTTGTCCCCTCCCTACTTGGTACCCTCCCTACTTGGTACCCTCCATACTTGTCCCCTCCCTACTTGGTACCCTCCATACTTGTCCCCTCCCTACTTGGTACCCTCCATACTTGTCCCCTCCCTACTTGGTACCCTCCCTACTTGGTACCCTCCATACTTGTCCCCTCCCTACTTGGTCCCCTCCCTACTTGGTCCCCTCCCTACTTGGTACCCTCCATACTTGTCCCCTCCCTACTTGGTACCCTCCCTACTTGGTACCCTTCATACTTGTCCCCTCCCTACTTGGTACCCTCCCTACTTGGTACCCTCCATACTTGTCCCCTCCCTACTTGGTACCCTCCATACTTGTCCCCTCCCTACTTGGTCCCCTCCCTACTTGGTACCCTCCCTACTTGGTACCCTCCATACTTGTCCCCTTCCCATTTTGCCCCCTCCCCCTAATCGTTCCTTCTACTTGTTCACCTCCTTAATTGTTCTTCAGCCTACTTGTCTCCCTCCCTACTTGTTCACCTCCCTTGTTTACCTTCCCACTTGTTCCCCTCCCTATCTGTTTCCCTCCCTACTTGTTCCCCTCCCTACTTGTTCCCCTCCCTACCAGTCCCCCCCTACATGTTCCCCTCCCCACCTGTTCCCCTCCCTACTTGTTTCCCTCCCTACTTGTTCCCCTCCCTACCAGTCCCCCCTACCTGTTCCCCTCCCCACCTGTTCCCCTCCCCACCTGTTCCCCACCTGTTCCCCTCCCTACTTGTTCCCCTCCCTACTTGTTCCCCTCCCTACCAGTCCCCCCCTACCTGTTCCCCTCCCCACCTGTTCCCCTCCCCACCTGTTCCCCTCCCCACCTGTTCCCCTCCCTACCTGTTCCCATCCCCACCTGTTCCCCTCCCTACATGTTCCCCTCCCTACCTGTTCCCCTCCCCACCTGTTCCCCTCCCTACATGTTCCCCTCCCTACCTGTTCCCCTCCCCACCTGTTCCCCTCCCCACCTGTTCCCCCCCTACCTGTTCCCCTCCCCAACCCTCCCTTACCCACAGAGTAGGCCAAGCAGACAGCCAGCTGGGCGATGGCGTAGACACACCCGTAGAACGCCTCGTGACGTACATCAACAAGTAGGGCTAGGAGAGGCATGATGGCGGAGTCAGTTATACCTGAAATATGGGGGCGGAGTCAGTTATACCTGAAATATGGGGGCGGCGTCAGTTATACCTGAAATATGGGGGCGGAGTCAGTTATACCTGAAATGTAGGGGTGAAGTCAGTTATACCTGATATATGGTGGGTGGAGTCAGTTATTTTCTAACTATAGAAACTGAGTGACTGAGTTTGCTATAAGTAAATTTTGTGGGTGGGGCAGATGAGTGAATAATTTATGGCATATAATGGGTGGTGTCAGTCATTTCTAAAATATAGACTCAGTGGTTCAGTTAAACAGAAAGAAAATATGGGGGACGGAGTAGAGTAAGTAATATATGAACAAGGTGGAGGGCGTTAAACTCACGCGCCCACACACAAACTCCCCACCCCTCCTCCCACACACACACAAAATCACTGCTCACACGCAATAAAAAAAACCACCCACACACTCACTCCCCCACACGTTCTCTTACCCAGGCCTAGACCGAGGCCAAAATGAGGTAGAATTAACTGCGGAACTGCTGTGGCGAACGGAAGCTGAAATTAAATAACAATTGACAAGAAGTTAGTTCATTGTTAAAGGGCGTCAATGCTAATCCATTTTCGTTGAGTTAATCAAGATTTAAATAAAAATCTCTTCGAACATCTTAACACTCCAAGGATGGCTATCATTAAACAGCTATAAATAGAGGTCAAATTTTTATTTATTAACTTTTTTAAAGCTATTTTAGGCCTGGCAAAAAGGCTGTGACTTACACAGAACTGGCATAGCGCTATGAGCAGCATACAGGCTAATGAACATGACCATCTGTAGGAGAAAACGAAAAAAAATTCTTGGGCCATTTTTAGGTTTTGGGTGTGTGGTGGGGGGGGGGTGAGGCGTCGTTTTAAACAAAATATCATTTGAGTTGAGAAATAAGAATTCAGTCTTTTAAAAAAAATTCCATTATATTTGCTTCTTCTGACCAGAGTTTCTTCTGTGTACCTCTTCCGGGGGGGGGGGCTTTGCTCCGAATAAAGTCTAACGCCCCCCACCCCCATCAAACGAAATGGAATTAATATAAAAAATAAATACTTTTAACAGTGTCCGACAACCCCCCCCCCCCTCCGGAAATTTTAGTCCCCCTCCCCCCCCCCCCTGAAAAATTCAAGTGCTCCCCCCCTCCCCCCCCCCCCCCCCCCACCGGTGATAAGGAACACTGGTTCAGACCGGACGCATGTTAAAACGTCGTTCCCTAGTTACACCCACTTACCTTCCAATGTTTCTGGCCACCACACCGAAACAGTTCGTCCCTATGAAGTAGCCGATGCTATCCGGTAGAAAGATCAGACCTGGGGTTTGAAGAACAATTTTTAAAAATTGGAGAGTTCTTCATAAAAAGATAAATAAATAACAGACTCGTCTTAAAACGGTGTCACAACATCCCACCCATAACATTTTTTAATTCACATGAAGTGATGGGTCGTTTTTGTTTTAAAACACCTCATTATAACAACTTACAATTGCTTGTATCACCCCCCGCTCCCAGTGGGTCATAACGTTACATAGGCCAGTACTCCCCCTCTACCCTCACCCTGGGTGTTTAGAGTCATTTAGGGTAATCCCCTACAGATAACACTAAATCTAGCTAAAGTATTACGTACCAAACAGGTTTTTACATGTTGGTCATATTTTCAGAAAATTCTAATGTTAGAAAGGTGTTTAAAACGTATGGGAAAGTCAACTCTCAATAGGTTGGCGAAATACACTACGTCGTCAGCAGGTGTCGATACGGGGTTATACCCAACACCTGTCACCACCTGCCACCATTGCCACCACATGTCACTAACTGACAACACCTATCACTACCCGACACCATCTGTCACTAGCGGACACCACCAGTTACTACCTGACAACATCTGTCACAACCTGTCACAACCTGTCACAACCTGACAACACCTGTCACTACCTGACAACACCTGTCACAACCTGTCAACACCTGTCACTACCTGACAACACCTGTCACAACCTGTCACAACCTGTCACAACCTGACAACACCTGTCACTACCTGACAACATCTGTCACAACCTGTCACAACCTGTCACAACCTGTCACAACCTGTCAACACCTGTCACTACCTGACAACACCTGTCACAACCTGTCACAACCTGTCACAACCTGTCACAACCTGACAACACCTGTCACTACCTGACAACATCTGTCACAACCTGTCACAACCTGTCACAACCTGACAACACCTGTCACTACCTGACAACACCTGTCACAACCTGTCACAACCTGACAACACCTGTCACTACCTGACAACACCTGTCACAACCTGTCACAACCTGTCACAACCTGACAACACCTGTCACTACCTGACAACACCTGTCACAACCTGTCACACCTGTCACAACCTGTCAACACCTGTCACTACCTGACAACACCTGTCACTACCTGACAACACCTGTCACAACCTGTCACAACCTGTCACAACCTGTCACAACCTGACAACACCTGTCACTACCTGACAACACCTGTCACAACCTGTCACAACCTGTCACAACCTGTCACAACCTGTCACAACCTGTCAACACCTGTCACTACCTGACAACACCTGTCACTACCTGACAACACCTGTCACAACCTGTCACAACCTGACAAGACCTGTCACTACCGGACAACACCTGTCACAACCTAACAACACATGTCACTCACCCAGTTCCCAGTTCTTGACGTGCATAGTGCTCATGGCCCAGAGCGGTACGGTCGGTTCTAGAACTGACATGGACATAGTGGTCAGCATCACCACACCTGGGGCATGCAGGTAATGGCATCATAAACAGGAAATATGAGAGACATAATCCACAGGTAATACAGGTAAGTAATGCTATACAACACAAGCCAGCTCAAACTCACTCAATTACTTTTTTTTCGCATACAGATAGGGTGGTATAACTAGCCTAAAGAAATGTCACACAAAACAATATTGAAAAGGTGGCTAATTCATCAAATGTTTTGATTTTTTCCTCCTACTTTGGATGCATATACTACAGCAACACAACAAGCAGAAAACACGTTAACATAAATAAACGACATATTGACACCCCACCCCGTCCCCACGTGTCACACCATCCCACCATAAAGTACCTGTAGCTATGATGATGTAACGATCCCTCAACAAAACATGAAGGGGAGTGATTTCTGCTTGAGTCTGAAAAAAAAAACACATTGTAGTTTCTTTTTAGGTTTAAAATTGCACAGTAGCTTTTGCTAATGATTTCCAATGTGTATTAATGAAGCCAACAATCTATACATTCATTCACTCTTTATATTCAGACACTCTATCGTATGCATGTGAACCAGTTGAGGCATGTATACAAGAGGCTTGTAATATACAAGTGTGAAAGTACTCACTTCTTTATGGGGCTGCACACCAAACACAAACCACTGCAGAGCTTAAAAATAGTTTATGACAAGTTGAAAAATAGTAGGCCTATATGATAAGTTGATTTATTCTGAACTAAAAGATATTACAAAAATTAAAGTGCCCTGTAAGACGAGATAGTCTATGGGGCGGGGGAAGTACGGTTCATCTTTTCCTGTACATTGACATAGGGTGTGTCAGCATTATGCCAGTTGTCTTTACATTTAAATATTTGTGCCAACAAGCTATTTTTTATGTTGGGTCAGTGATATATTGTCACGATAGTTCAGTTGGAAAATGGCTGCTAAAGTAAGTAGATAAAACAGATTGAAACGTTGAGTTAAACGAAACAATTAACGATGTTTCCATGAATCAATTTTCAGGATTTTATTTTAAACTCATGAACTATATAGGCTTAGTTTTAAAACAGCAGGTGTAATCCATAACCTTATCCATTCTAAGGAGAGGAGATGAGCCAAACGAAAGAATAATTAAGAGCTGGGGACGCTCTCTCCATCTTTAAACCCGTGGTTCTTAACCTTTTGGTGGTACCTACACCACTAGATTCGTATGCGCATTCACAGAACTCTTCTTATACTCTATCGTCCGCACTGACTAAATCCGATCGTGATTTATTTGAGACAGATGTGCGTCTTGATTTTCGCCGAACTCCTGACATTGACTCATCGAGCCCCTGGGGTTCGATCGAACCACTGCTTTAGATAATGACGGGGGAGGATACCAATATTGAGGATCCAACTACATTTCCTCACAGCTAAGCGATAATATCTCCCCTGTCGTTACAAATGCTGAGACCACAATTAAAAAACCAAAACAAAAAGCTGAGAACAAATTAAGACGACGTTCATCATTAACCTACCGACGTCCAGTAGTATCACCCCACCTATGTGAGAACAAATTAAGACGACGTTCATCATTAACCTACCTACGTCCAGTAGTATCACCCCACCAAGTATCAGGAACACTGCCGTCTTGCCAACAAAGGAGTACATCACTCCACCAAACGGGTAGCCTACTGCAGATATCCAGCGGAAAAGAGATTTGAAAATCGTAGGTTTTTTAATACGTTTTTTTTTCTTTTTTTTTCTTTAGATTTAAATCGTTCGTTTCATCACACTTTGAAAATTTTAATTATAAATTGCTATAACAAAATTAAATTTGTATCAACGTATTTTAAGACGTATTAAAAAAGTAAAGTTCCCCTTTAAAACCTAACGATCCATAGGTCAGATGAATAAGAGTTCATGTTTCTTGACCTCGGCATATAATGCGTGGTGTGGTCAGCAATTAGCCCAGCTGCCTTTACATTACCTACCCCGAGTCAGTTACCCATCAGAACTGGACGGACTCAATGACGTTCTACAGTTACAAGTCCGAACCAAGAACCGAACCCGATACCTTTTGAGTAGCAGTCGAGCGCATGTTTGCGATGTATACAGAGATTTTTCAACCAAGAAAAATCCAATTTAACGTCGGGAGGGGGGGTCGAGACTTGGGGGGGGGGGGGTCATTTTAGGCGCCGTGTGTCGTCTTATAGGGCTGGGCTGGTGTACCCCAAACTCTATATTAATTAGTTTGAGAACTTAAAGGTTTTTTTGCCGGAATATACGTTTATTACAGTCTATGTTTTCACTTGATATGCCGGAATATACGTTTATTCCACTCCATGTTTTGACTTACTCAGAACACCGAAGGCTCCACCTCCCATGGCAATGCCCATAGATCTGCTCCGGCTTTTGTCGTCTTGATATCGTCGAGCTACGATACTCATACCTACACCAAACACAAGGTAGCTGTTAGCAAACTTTCAAATCAATTATATTAAATAAGGTTTAATCTATCAGAATTTGCTATTTTTAAACGATTTATGACGTTTTTCTCAAATTTCGGGTGTTTTGGTTTGATGAAAATTAAACAAATGAAATATTTACCAAAAAATTAAAAAAATAAGGCTTCATTATTTAAACGTGTCTTCAAAATAAATATAATAAATATAGGAAATTAACAACAAAAAAAGTAGCAAAACACATTATTTAGTTAATCAACTTTTGAGCCATATCGGTGATCATTATTTTTGAAGAAAAAAACTGTTTAATTTCAAATTTAAATAAGATATAGGCCTAATAATTCGATTTTTATCTTTCAGCCGGTATCGTTACGTTAAGCCCTGCCATAATCTTAATCCTGACCCAGAGGCGTAGCGAGGGTGGGGGGGGGGGGGGCGGGGGAGATATATGTCCCCGGGTGCCGACCTTAGGGGGGGGGGGCGCCAAAATGGGTAGGAAAAACAAATTGAAAGTTTGAGGAGGGGGGTGCAAATCAAAAGTTCGAGGGGGGGGGGGCGGGTACAAATGAAAAAAGTTCGAGGGGGGGGGGTGCAAATCGACAGTTTGTCCCTGGGCGCCGGGAAGGGTCGCTACGCCTCTGTCCTGACCCTAACCTCAACAGCTACAGCCGGCTGTAAACTTTATTTCGGGTTTGATTAGCCAGTTCAACTTTTTAAGCAGATGAGAATGTCACTACCATATCAAAGTTGGGAATACCTGCAATAACAGTAGCAGCAGATCCCAGGCCTTGAAGAGATCTTGCAACCAGCAAGGGGATGTAACTCTCCGCAAAAGCAAACACTGAACACAAATTAAAATAAGATTAAAAGAAAGAAATAACAATTCAACATATGTATATGTACCCTTGAATACTTTTTTAAAAAATATGAAGAAAAAAAAAAACCTGTGATATTATTTTTAAAATTTCCAGTTAACAGTCACATGTCGATTGTAATGGTACCAGAAACGCTTGAGCGTTTTTTTGGAAAAATGTTTTAGTAAGTTCTATTACAAATTAAATACGGTAGAGGGGAAAAGTCAACGCACGCCCCCCCCCCACACACACACACACTGCTTGTGTCCAATGGCTATCCATATACTTACCTAAGGAAGATATAAATAACACAATAGATCCACCAAACAGTAGGATAGGATAGCCGACCCTAAGAAAACAGAAACCTCACATGAATAGTTGGAGTTGAAAGGTTAACATATTTTGATTTTGTGTTTTTTGTTTCATTTCTTGAGTACGTGTTACCTTTGTAGACCTAATGGTCAATAGGGAGGAGGATGTAGAGTTCACCTGTTTCTGTGAGCTCTGCATGCACATTAACAAAGTGGTCAGTATCCCGCGTTGACAACTTTTCTTCATAAGCTTGAATTATGAATCCATTAGATCAGAGTTGGATGGACTAAGGTACGCCCTAAAGTTCAGGTACCCATCAGAGCTGGGTGGACTCAGGTTTCTCCTGTTTGGCGTTCTATGAAATGCTCAGAGAGTGTAATTGACTGGGGGAGGGGGGGGAGTCCTAGCCCCCTATATGAGTAGATGGTTATTACAGATGGACACATATTGTAGACAAATGTTGAGAAAGTGCAATAAATGGAAATATTAATACACGAAAGTATTAGTATAGGCCTTACATATGTACGGTGTGGATAATATTGACATCTATACAGAAAAGATAACATTCAGAAAGATAATACAATAGAAAGAATAATATAGAGAAAAGATATAATATAGAAAAAGGATAATATAAAGAAAGAATAATTTAGAGATAGGGGTCATCCATAAATGACGTCACGCTTTTTTTGACGATTTTTAAACATCGATATTTTTCCAAAATCTTGTCTGAGATATGTCAAAATAGAGTATTTTAATCAATTCCTATTATAATTTATTAAAACTGTTTTCTAAAACGCGAAATAACGTCTAAAATTCGTTTTCTAACATTTCCTATCTATAAAGCAAAAGTGTGACGTCGCACCATATGAACCCCCCCCTACCCCTCATCACACATCGTCACAAAATTACCGACCCCCCCTCCCCCCTACCAGTGTGACGTAATTTATGGACGACCCCATAGTATAAATATATCATTTAAAGGAAGAATATTATAAAGAAATGATTATATAAAGAAATAATATTTTGAAGAAAGGATAATATAAAGAAGGATAATGTAAATAAAGGATAATAAAGGATAATATAAAGGATAATATAAGGGATAATATAAAGGATAATATAAAGGATAATATAAAGGATAATATAAGGGATAATATAAAGGATAATATAAAGGATAATATAAAGGATAATATAAAGAAGGATAATGTAAATAAAGGACAATAAAGGATAAAATAAAGGATAATATAAAGAATAATAAAGGATAATATAAAGGGTAATATAAGGATAATAAAGGGAAATATAAAGGATAATATATAGGATAATATAAAGGATAATATACTTATTGCAAAGTGGCCCAACAAACGGATTGGCGAAGAGTTGAACGATGGCCTTGGAGGCCAACAGCCACCCCACTCTGGCGTTCTCACTGTAGGCCATCGAGGTCAAGGAGAATCGTGGATGGCCAGACGAGTCGTTGGCCATGGCCGGGCCTAGCAGGGTCGTGTTTAGGTTTATGTAGGGGTCGCTGCTGTTCTGGTTTGGTAGAAACCTTGTCGAGGTCAAGTTGTTGTGGGTGTAGAACTCTTCTTTGTCAAGACGAATCAGAAACGCCGGGATTATAGGCACTAAAGGGGGAAAATAGCAGAACTCTAAACAGCGAAAATTTGGGTTAGTTCCCATGTTACGAACACTGAAACAAAAAGACGAGTAGAAATCACCACCAAAATAGGGTTAGTTCCCATGTTATGGGCACTAAAAGAAAAAACCCAATTAGAATTCAGTGCCATCAAAGAAAGCTTAGTTCCCATGTTATGGTCACTGAAAGGAAAAAAAAACAAAAAGAAATCAACACCACCAAAACAGGGTTAGTTTAAAATGCACGAAACGTAAGAAACTGAAATAAAAAATCCACGGTAAAAATTTAAACCTAAATTTGTTTGAGATGCATACATCACAGCTTAAAAGAAAACTATAATATACTTTCCAATGTGTACAGTTATTTCGCACGTTAACCCTGTACTTTCATGTTATCATTCTTCATCTTCGTTCATAATTTAAATTTTGGAAAGGATTTTCTCCAACACAATTCAGTATTCTGTTTCATTTTTTATGCGCCATATAAGCGTGAACTTGCTTCCAGAGCATTTTTCCAACCAAGAACAAATTACTTGGCAGCAGTTTTTTTTTGTGGAGTTTTCTTTCCTAGATAGGTTGCTATCATCTACCCGGGGGTTCGAACTCGGGACTTTTTGGTATAGCAGCCAAGAGCGTTACTCACCCAACCACGCTGACCCACGTTATCATCCAAAAACTAACAACACACAGCTGTGGATAACAAAATATGATACTAGACTAAAACACAGAGACGGAAAGTATTCATTGATATACAAAGCAGAGGGGCAGTAAAGAGGGTGGTAACATAATGAGTGCGCCACCTTAGAAAGGGCACCGCCGTAAGTAAGTCGACTGTTTTCAGATGTACAGCGCCCTACGTAAGATGGTAACATAAACTTAAAGGAGCGCGGCGCCTTAAGGGTGCGGCAAAAGTACAGTCTTAAGTTAGTTTTAAAAACAAAAACATTAAAGGGGAGACATATTGAAGACTTGCCGCGTGCAGAAAAAAACATCAATGCAAGGTCCTTAACAAAATGTTTATAATTTTCGGTACGTGGTATTTTTTGTAAACTGCTCTACTAAAATATGTGATGAAGCGGGAATCAGGTCAACACTCACCGACTGACGTCAGCAGAAGGTTATCCAACATGTTGGTCAGAAACACGATGACCAGCGCCACACTGTCCAGGTCCTTGACCTTCTCCCTCATCGGCTGCAGGAGCTCGTGACAGTTGAGCACGCGGTACCAAACGTGCAGCAGCATTTTCAAACACGACATTTTGTCGTCCCGGACAAATTGTCTCTAGTCAGGAGACAAGAGTTAGACTGGCACTGTAATGCTGGCTATATCTCAGTACATTTTAGCACCTACCTATGTTATTTAGTACCTACATTCTATTCAATACACAAAGCATTATATATATATATATATATATATATATATATATATATATATATATATATATATATATATATATATATATACTGTTAAAAAGCTATTGAAATTAATGTAATGCGCGAGTGTAGCATGATGCAATCATTATACAGACTATTATATTACAAGAACTATTGCGGCCAAATTGATTATGAATGAAATAATTCGCAACAACGTTAAATTATAATCCCTCAATAAAACAATAAATAAAGCACATATCTAACAGTACACGACGCTCACACCATATCCTAGAAAGAAAGCGTTCTTTGTCGACAGCCACCAAAAAAAACATCCGAGAAATCCGTCTATGGAAACAAGATTATCTTTACTGGGCTTTAAACACGGCAAGCGACGAACATTGAGGGAACACTGAAGGAACATTGGGGGGAACATCGAAGGAACATTGGAGAAGCGGGCTAATGAAGTTGTCGAGGCTAACACTGGCCACGGGAATCGGAAGGTGGAGCTGATTGGTTTGCGAGAAATTGGGGAGATTCGATACATGATTACACGTCTCCATTCTGCAGGTTCGATTTGTTGCGGGTCAGTGGTTTGTCAAATTTTTGGGGAAGTAGAAGCGTAGGAAGGGATGGTGATCGGGATGGGTGTGAGAGTGATGGAAATAAAGCGAAAAAAGGTGGAGAGAGATTATATATATATATATATATATATATATATATATATATATATATATATATATATATATATATATATATATATATATATATATATATATATATCGCTGGATGTTTGTAAGATGATATTTTTTCTGTGAGAAGTTTTGTCACATACATTATTAGCTCACAATTGAAGCCGCACATTAACTTCACATACCAGCAAACTACATCTACTGTGGATACAGATTAAAGATTTGTGTGTAATGTTGCGCAAACCTAGCTGTATGTTTGGCAGTCTTAAGTAAACTGAACAAAGAAGCTTGACTGGTTGACGGTATACCTTTGAACAGATGGCGAGATGCCATCATAAAAAAAAAAATACAGACGTCATCATGCGACATAAAGCATGACCAGATGACATCACGCAACAAAAATGACACGCTGATGACATCACACAAATTAAATGACAACCAGATGACATCACGCAATATAAATGACAACCAGATGACATATCTTAGCTTTCAATACTAATTCTTTAAATGGTCTCTAGTCAGGAGACAAGAGCTAGACTGTCACCGTGATGCTGGCTATATCTCAATACATATTTGCACCTACCTATGTTATTTAGTATAGACAGTTGTGATATAAATAACAACATTATTAGTACAGCGACGTCTTTTTAATAGCTTTTTTTTATGTGACGTCTTGCTTTTTTGACGATTTTACCCCCCCCCCACCCCCCGCCACCCTCACATCGTTACAAAAAGCTACCCTCCCCCGTTCCATAAATGACGTCACATCTTAACTACCCCCACCGCGTTAAAATTGCAATTTACTTTTTTTTCAAACATTGATTTTTTAAAAAAATATTGAATGAACATGGTCAACATAGATTTGGCCTATATTAATTTATTTCTATTACAATTTAGGAAAAACATTACCAGTTTCTAACAGGGGCGGAACTACAGTGCCGCCAGACCCCGCAATGCGGGGGGGGGGGGGCCCAAGCCATTTAGGGGCCCAGAGCCGACCATAATAAAAAAAATTATAGTAAAAAAAAGTAAATTTTCTTTCATTTTTGACTTGATGGTTGTTTTGTAAAAAATTACCGTAGCTGCGGTTGGATTATCTTTATTCTATAGACACCACCCCACGCTCTTGTATCTTCTTTTTCCCTTTGTTTTTAAACAACTTTGAAAGCCGAGTCTTTCTCCTACAATTAAACTTATCAGAGACAAACACATGTTCAAACCACTTCCATGACTTATTTCCCTTTTTTAAAAATAGTCAAATAGGGGTGATCATAAGCTCCTTTTAACAGATTTGTACTAAACAAATTAAAAAGCAATTACTTCTCTTAATTATTTTTTTTATAAGTAATTACTAAAGAATAATATTGTATAAACAGGAAATGTATTGAAATGTATTAAATAAATAATATTTAAAACATTAATAATATAACTACAAAAAAAAACATAAAAATAAACATAACACGAGACACCATTACTTATACAAAGCTTTTATGTTTTATATTATTTTGACCGACCAGTTGCTATGAGGGCTTCTATCGAAAATTAATTGAAACTGATTTTTCACAAAACACGCTATTGCACTTACACACATGACATGATGTTGAACATTTTTTAAATTGATGTTTTTCAAATCCTGAACAGGACAGCAACGAGTATCCTATGTTCGTATTATGTTATTGTATATGTATATATATATATATGGGCCTAAAAAAATTTTTTGCGGGGTGGCCCTTTTTTTCTAGTTCCGCCACTGGTTTCTAACATTACTTTTTTTAAATTCAAAAGTGTGACGCCTCACTGTTTGAACCATCCCTCCCTCGACATCACACATCGTCACAAATTACGCCCCTATCCCCCCCCCCCCCCTCATTTATAGACGGCCCTTAAGTTGATTAATGATACTGTTAGATTCGCTCGCCCCTGTTATGAGAGAGACGCACATGATAATATTAATAGATAATATAAGGCTCTATCTTTTCCGCATTATCACTGTCCGACTTAATTAGCCTCTATTTAAATTAATAAAATGCATTTATTTATAAAGAGAAATTTCAATTTTAATGTTTAATAGTAGACAGTAATTGAATGTAATAGGCTAAACTTTTTTTTTTAAATAGTAAAATTAACTTTATAAAATATTTGTTTCATTAGAATTCCCTTTACCTATTTACTATTTAGCCTAATTAATAAACGGCTAGATGTACATCAAGTACTTAGCAACGCAAGTAAATAGATTTCTAGTACTAGAATAATGATATCTAAAAGTTATAACATAGATCGATAATGATCCAAAACATAGAAACAAGTTATGAAGAATTTGTAAAATAATAGCAACAGTTTTATTTAGCCTAATTTACAAAATAAAATAAAATAATACGTCCATTTAACACTTTATACTCTTACGAAACTAAAAAAAAATAATTCTACTATTAATAACATAGTAACGAGCTAGCGTCAAAATGGCCGACGATGCCAAAAAAAATAAAGATGCCGCGAATTTACCAAATTTGCCACCGAGACCACCAAATACTGCGCTGATGTATTCTAGGTAATTTAATTTATGCTTTCAGATGTGTTTATTTTTCAAAAAAATATTTTTGATCTACTTATAATTACTCATACACGTATTCCAACAATAACTTATATTATAAAACAAATAGTAATCTATAGTTATTATAGTATAGTCTATCGTTTTGGGCTTTAGGTACGCAAAATCAGCCGCGGCTAGTAATGTGTGACAAAGTTGCCTCATTGTTAAGGCTTTAACAGAAGTATATTGTGATATATTTGTGTCAAATATTATAAGTAATTGAATAATAAACCAAAACAATGGCTAAATATATCAATATTTTTAACTTTAACAGCAGTGTTTAAACTACAGCAGTGTTTGCGAGTAATATTTGCTATATATTATATAAACAGCAGCCATTTGTAAAAAAGAGTGGCTTCCCATAAATCTCCTGCTATAAGTTTACCAAAAAAAAACGTAAACAAGATGGCAGCTGAAGTAAACGAGCTTTGTTGCTTATTGAAAACGTCGCTAGTCTTTACTTATTACTGAAAAGTTTTAATCCAATTGTTTAATAACAGGTAGGCCTACATGAATGAAACTTTGAAACATTTTTTTAACTTTCAAAACATATTTTCCTTAAAATGTGAAATAATTACTAAATTTTAATAAAGAGCCTTCATTTCACATTACTATGCCTCGGCCGATTGTGTGTACCTTAAGCGATAGATTATCAACAAATATAATGCTAGGGCAGGCGACCCTACAATCAGTGTTTCTTCCAGGCTTTTATCTCCGGGAGGTTGGGGGAACTTAATATTTTCGGGGGGGGGGGAGGGGGGTGCACTACATTTTCCGGGGGGGGGGGGGGGGTGGGGCACTGGTAAAAGTATTTGTTTTCTATATATTTTCCATTTCATTTGGGGGGGGGGGGGGGGGCATTATACGTGGCTACAATCAGTACAATGCCACCATTCCCCAATGAGTCCAATGATGATTTTGGACTGTTCCCAAATGACTGAGGAATATATTATATTTTGTATATACTAAACAACTGACAAAATTATAATGAGCTATAAGTATTAGTTATTATAAAAAATACTATTGACAATCATTCTAAAATTAGAAATAAGCCTCAAAGTTTAAGTTTAGAGTGACTTGACATGGCTGTTTGGTATATCAACTTTCAATTTTATGTTTATAAATAATTAATATATATTCAATCTTGTTTGTAAAAATGGCATTAATTTTCTATTGTATCAAGTAGGCCTACATGATGATTAAAATAAGGATTTTATAATAGCTAGCTAATTAAAATTTAGCTAAGTTTGTAAGTTTGTTCCTTTGAAAGAAAAATAAAAGGACTAAATTTGTATGCTTCTTGTCATCAAATAAATACATATAGGCCTGCAATTTAACGAATCATTAAGTGTAAAATATTTCTTTATCTAGTTAGAAGTGACCATGATATTTACATTGTAGGATGCCTTTATGATTCTATTAATTAAAAAAGAATCAATTAACCAAACCAGGAAATGAAAAGGAGCTAGGACAGACTTAGCTGGCATAGAGATAACATTGTTGGCTAAATAACATTTAGCATACGTTTAATAAAATAGCATTTTGTTGCTTTTCAATCCTGGTAACTTTTAGCTATATAATTAATTCCTAAATCTTTCTCAATCTGTATCAATAGTTACTTTATTCTTTTCAATGGGAATAGCCTGTGTAGCACACATCTAAGAGGCCATAATGCTGTAAATTACTGGCCATAATCATCTATCCTAGTCCACAAAGCCTAAGTAGCCCACCTTTATATACCTGATTTACTATTTATTTATTTTAAAAAAATTTGTTTTGATTCATGGCTGATATTGGCCTAGCAATTTTATACTACAGAGTTATGTCTTTCATGAGAGAAAAATTATAACATAGAAATGTATTACATATAAAAAATCAATCTAGTATATTTCATCATCTGGAAAATAATAGTTTCTAATTTTTTAATAAAGGTATTTACAAGAGGCTCCATACAAGGCCCTGGTTGGAGTTGTTGTGGATGCTAAAAAAACAGAAAAGGTTGGTTTTTTTTAAACTATTTGTTGTGAATTCAACTCATGTGAATTTCTTTCAATAATACATTAAACATAACTAGAACATTCTAAGTCACTACTTGGAACTTGATCCCCCAGGCTGGCTGCCATATAGGTAGAGACTTTATGAGAATTTTACCATATATTGAGTTAGTCTAAAAAAGAGACACAGAAGCAAAAATTGTCAAGTGGTTGACAATTTCTGTACCCTACTCTTGTTATGGCAATGAGCTTTGAAAGCACAAGACAGTGTACACATTTAGAAACACTTCTGTAAAAGGAATTTTACAATTTTTTAAGTTAATTGTACTGATACATTCTGAATTACATTAGAGAATCGCTTTTAATATGTGCCTTAAACTGATGGTTTCATCTAGTAAACCCTTTAAAAATCACGCTTTTTAAACTGAATAATGTTTTTAAAAAAACCAGGGTATGTAACTATGCAAAAGGGAGAAATCTCAATGCCTAAATATAATGTGAGCTAAATCCTTTACATCACATGTGTAGCATAATTTGAGAAAGTCCAAAGAGACTTTAAAACATTATGCTATAAAAACTAAAATTGTTTTTGAATTATAACATTTAATATGCATCTTTTTAAAATGTGTTCTTAATTGTGTTTTTTTTTTAAAAGGGAGGGGTTGTGGATACATTTAGATCTAAAAGTGAATGGCAGGTAGTTTTGTAGAGTTTTCAGCTCAATCGAGAGAGAATGGGTGGGAGGCATCATTTTAAATGTGCTTATTCTAATTTAAATTTTAATTTTATTTCAAACAAATCGTGCATAGACAGCCCTTAACTAGTATATCATTAAACAAAAAGTGAAAATAATGGACTTGGCTAAAATTCTAGTTCACAGAGTTGCCACGGCACCGCGTGAGGCGCCAGGCAGGGACAACCAACCGCTGGCGCTTTTCAGATTCCCTGTACAGCGACATGCTAGGGACGACCCAGGCCCTGAAATCTGTCAACATGCCCTTCAGCCAAAACCTGATCAACAACATCCTTGGTACGTACCCAACCTGTAACCCCAACTTACTGTCTTGCAAAGACTTTGCGTACATGAATGATCGCCAGTGGAGCCTGCTGAGAAAAGTTTCCAAACCAACTGCTAAAATAGATGATGAAGAGGGACAGATTTAGAAACATTATCCAGCCTTTCTTACCGTGAATTTTGTACATTTTCATCAACACAACGTGATTTTTTGTTTACATTTTTATCATGGTTTTATACCTTTAAAGAAAAGTGTATGAACAGTATGTAATTGTAATAAAAAAAGGAAGAAGTCATATACATAATGTTATAAGCTAATAGAAGATCTAGAGGCTGCCTTTAAAAAACAATTAAATGTTTAAAAACAATTATTATAGCAGAATTTAAATACCAGAATATAATCACAGTTTAATAGTAATGCAATGATAATAGTATATGCTTGGTGGTTTATTTGTATGTTGCTATAAAAGTAATTATTTTATTTAATTTTTTCTTTTAAAACTAGGAATAGATACATTTTAAAATGTATGGCTGTAAAATTTAGCATCAATATAATATTCTACAGATCAATTAATTTTTTTTTTAAATTTTGATACAAAAGTTTGTAAGCCATATTGAAAACACTGTGTTTGTATTTTTTATTATATATTTTCAAGACACTGTATTGTAGGTTTCTCCACAACAGCATTATTATAATTCAAATTCAAATCAAGAGAAGCTGTAGACTTGTCGATGACCCGAGCAGTTAAATAATCTCTGGCTCTGAACTCAATACAGCAACATAGATACTTGATTCCAACCTGGTGTTAACTGTTCATATGACTTGCAAATTTGCACTAACTTTGCTTCTATGCTATATAAGTTACTGGTCTGACACTTTAGTAAATACAGTTTTCTTTAAACAATTAATGCTATGTTTTTTTCACACATGTTCATCTGATGTGTTATTATTTTTTTCTTTCTCATTTCTTATTCATAATTTATATTTTAGCATGGTGGCCCATGAGAGCCTATATTTCTCTTTTTCATTTAGCCATTAATTTTAATAAGGCAATTTTTTAAATTTTTTGGTCTGATTGTTTTATATTTGGAACCAATTGAATACAGAAAATATAAATGTCATAGAGCTGATTGATCAAGCTCAGCAATTGGGATATAGTGGCCACTAAATTATGTGAAATCAATATGCTGCTGCATCTCAAATTGCTTTTCTATATTTTCTATTATGATAATATTATAGTGTATATAATCATTTATTAAAAAATCTGTAAAACATCACCACCTTCTTCTGTTCTTGTGCTAAATTTTTTAAAAATATTATTATCTTTAGAAATTGTTGTGAATTTAATACTTTATAAAATGTTATGTTCTTGTTATGACTTATGTTCTACATTTTTCAGCAATAAATAAGTTCCTTATAAGAGTAATCTGTGTGATGTAATTCTCTTAAACCACTTAATAAGAAGCCACTTGATTAGAATTAAATAGATTATTTAGTCAACAGGCCTAAACATGACACTAAATGAAGCTATGGAGCTTAGACAAGGAGTTGCTACTAGTCTAGATCTAGGTATTATATAAAAACTAAAGGCCTACCTAGTTCTGTATGCCTAAAAAAAGCAACTCAACAATGTAGTAAAGAACAAGAAAATGAGAACTCAACTCACAGAAAAGGTTGCCCTTGGTTTAAATAATGTAGAAGAAGATATAAGCTACCTAAGAGTTATGAGTGACTTATGTTTTTACTTGGAGATTACACAATGGATACATTAAACAATGTAGTATCAAACTGGAGGTATATTTTTTTGCTTATGTTGATTGTAATAGTCCTACATGCTAGAAATTTGTAACAATGTTATATAGGCTTCTGCTAGCAATATCATGCATGCTACACAGATTTCTTTTATATTTTTTCTACATTTTTTTTAGTTTTCTAGATAAGCTTAAGCTTTTCTAAATCTGAAATCTGCATTGCCCAACAATATCAAACCCCTACCCTAATTGTAAACCTGCACTAAATGCTAAACCTATGTTTTCTCTGTCTTAAGTTTAACTAGAAAGTACCACATTGATAACTTTTTACTTCTTGTTTTATTTCGTTGTTTTTAGAACTTGCATCAAATTCGTATTGATCTTTTTATTTTTAACAAATATGTATATAGTAGCCTGAAATCTCAGTTGCTAGTAGATCTAGTATTTAAAATTATATCTTCATTTATCTACTTGATATTAACAAAAAATAGTTTTTAATCATTATTTTATATTGAATTTCAGCCAAAATAGTTTCTTCTACTTTTTATTTTCATTTTCTTAAATCACTTATTTTTAAAATAGTTTTTTCCTTACTTTTTTATTTATTAATGCACTTATATTCTCCAATTAGTTTTTAATAATGACCTCTCTTGCCAATTATATTTATTGCTTGGCTGTTTTGTATTTTATTACACTTATTTTTACAATTTAAGAAGCTATTTGCTTTGTAAAATATTTTTTGTTTTGTTTTGCTTGAAACCTTTTATTATTTATTTATTATTTATTTTATTATATAATAGTTAGAGGTAGATATTGTAATATGTGTAGTCTAAATCTCTTCTATATGTCTAGGTATTGTTTTATCTATACTATCTCTTTATACATTAATTACTTATATTTAAAAAAATAATACTGTTTAAGCTCCTTTAAGAACTAAAATTTTTAAAATCAGATTTCTATTCAAATATTATTATAGAACAGTAATGGCTTCTTCATGTTTATCACTGAAAAAAACAACTGACAGGGTAATAAAAAAAAATGTAGCTATATCTTGGAGCATCTTAATTTAGTGTTAAAGTTTAAATATCATTATTAGATGTTAGTCAATTTATTTATAACCATCTGCTCCATTGTTTGCATTGTAAAAGGAAAATTGTAAACCCATTACAAGTCTAAAACTTTTCAGAATCTCTTCATTGCCCACCACTTGATGAGAAGTACATCTCTAAATCTGAAAGTCGGCTTGTCTCTAAATCTGCTCCAGTTGAACAGGTCACAAGACAACACCCACTACAGCGATCCTTCTCAGAATTTAATCCTTCTAAAGATACCAAAGTGTAAGTATAGATTTGTTTTATATGAAATTAAATGATTAAATAACTTATTTTTGCTATTAAGATAATGGTGGGATGGCATGGTGGAGTGGTAGAGTTTACAGGGCTGGCGCTACCTATAAGGCGAACTAGGCGGTACTTGAAATTTCTGGGGGGGGGGGGGGGGTGCAGACACTATTAAAAGTATAAATTTTCTATATAAATTTCAATTTGTTTGAGGCGGGTGAGGCGGTAGACTTTCTTCGGGGTGGCTATATATATATATATATAGCCACCCCGAAGAAGTTCTCATATATAGATATATATATGGGGGTCCGAAAAAAAATTGCAGGAGGGGGGGGGGGGGGCGTTTTAATAAGTTTTTGCCTAGGGCACTAAATAACCTGGCACCAGCACTGAGAGTTTATAACTGTTAACCCAAAAGTCTCGAGTTCAGATCTTGAGCATAAGTAGGACGTCCTTGAGTCCACCCAGTGCTGATGGGTACCTGACTCATTAGAGAAACAAAGGTGGCTGGGCATATTTTAATTATTAGAATTTTCCAATATTAAAACCAACCAATTCCTAGTTAAAAAAAAACAACTTTAAAATGTTTCTAACAGCCATCAGAATAATCTGAGTAACAAAAAATAATCTAAAATGTTTCTAACAGCCATCAGAAGAACCTTAAGAAAAAATTACCCAAACACCCAGCTACAGACTCAAACAACCAAATATTTAAAGCTGACCCTAGGAGCAGCTTGAACTACCTGAGACCAGGTAAAAGAAGTGCCCACATTTATTTTTATTTGGTGTTTACTTCCCTTTAGTTTAATAAAATAATGAAATTATTGAAGGTACGTACTCTTTGTATTGTTATATTGTTTATTTATCTTTGATATTATTCACTTTTTCAGGGATGGCTCATAAAAAACATGGTATGTATTTTATCAACTTATCCAAAATGTTTTGACTAAAATGTTATAAAAAATATTTTTAGATTATAGTTTAGAGACATTTCTTTTTAGGAAATTACTTTTAATTTATGTTAGTTTAGAGACATTTCTTTTTAGGAAATTACTTTTAATTTATGTTAGTTTAGAGATATTCAAGAGTTTTCTCAAAGTTTAACACCTGTCACACTGTTACAATTTTTTAGTTATAAAAAACAATGGTTAAATTAAATGAAAGTCTTGAATAAATAAACATTTACATTGTTTTAGTTATTTTTTTTTTAAAGTTTTTAAAAATTATTTTTACAATGTTTTACATAAAAAACAATGGTAAAATTAAATTGTACGATACTTAAGCTTTTATTTTTTAGTGAAAAATAAAAGGGTACAGTTAAAGTGTTAAATAACTTTGAAGATTTAGTAAAAATACAATAATAAAATAAAATTATAGAACTCTTCATCTCCAGATGTTTTACTGAGATCACTAGGCTTAAGTTGGGAGCTGCATTCCTCACACATATACAAGGCCAATGCTCTAGCCCAGCTGTTGATGGAGCATGATGGTGGAGAGAACATGGACACATACATAGAGTCATCAAACTTTACAAATACCAACAGCTTTCAGAGGTGAGATAAATCTTTTATTTAACAGCTTTCAGAGGTGAGATGAATGTTTTTTTAACAGTTTTCATTTATCATTTAAATTTTAAGGAAATAGCTTATTCTTTTTTACCTTTAATAACTTTAACTTTACATAAAACTTAAGATGCTTAGAGGTATACTTCAATGTATATCCAATTTTGTTAAACTTTAATAAAAAGGAACAATGACCTCACATTAACCTCACTGATATTAAATTTAGCTAACATCACTGACCAGTTCAATAGTCACTTCAAATAATGGCTTCATTAAATAGATTTGTAGCTTGGAACAGGAAAGCATAGAAGATTTTGGTTTAGACCCTATGCTCCACAAGGAGTAAAGAAGACTAAGTCTAACGCCTAGGTTTATTTAAATAGCCTACTTTACAACAGCTAAATTCTAAAGAGCAGTGATTCTTAACGTTTTTGGTGGTTTTGGACCCCACCAGTTTGAAACGCACATTCAACGAACCCTTCTTAATGCTTCAATTGCCTGCATTAAATAAATCGGTCATGAATCATATGAACAGAGTATGTTTTGACCTCCATCAAACTCCTCTGACTGACTCACCACATCCCTTGGGTTCACTCAAACCTAGGTCAAGAACCATTGGTATAATGTTCTCATTTGAATTGATCCATGTTCTGTCAAATGTTTCAAAAATCAGAATACTTCTAGCTAAGAGAAACTAACTGTAGGTATTCATTGGAGTCAAAATTTAACTTCCACAGCATAGAGTCTGATTGTGAGGATCTTAAAAAAACTGATCCCGGCTCTAAGCAGACCATGAGTTTTCTTGGACAACTAGGTGGTGTTCCAGAAACTTCTAGGAAGGAAGTGGCTGAGATTTATCTGGACATTGATGATCCTATGGTTACACCAAGAGGTTCTTATGTTTCATTACTTAGTGCACTGTTTTTGTACTCTATTAAGGTCTAAACAGGAAAATAGCATTTTGGCTTATTTATAAATTGAGATGAAATTTGAATTGTAGAAAAATAAGACAGAATTACTTCAGCACCTATTATTTGAGTTAAGCTATGTTATATGATTTGTGGCACAGGTATGGGGGGGGGGGGGAGGAAGAATAGACCCTAAGAGGACTCTCAAAATGAAAGTTGTCTTACATTAAGCTCCATCCGTTGGCTACAGTATGTTGGTGTGGCTTTGTTTTTACAATTTTAAAATGTTGAATTCATAAAATAAACATTAATTTAATCTAAAAATTGTTATGGAACATATATATGATAGATGAATAAATATAAGTATGTATAGGTATGTAGAATACTGTACATGTATGACTTTCAAAATTTTGAAATAGAAAGCAACACAACTGTGCATCACCAACAACTATAGCTTATTGTAAGACAAGTGTTATGGTGTCATAACACCATAGACCCCTCCTGCCCAACCCCCCTCCCCTGTTTGTCAGTATTACTGTAGTATTTTCCTTTTATAATTACTGTTCAGTGAGCCTAGTTTTAAAATAAATCATCATCATCTCTTAACAATTTGATGCCTACATTTTTCTAACAGCAATGGCCATAGCACTGAGCAGCCTGTACAACTCATCTCTGGTGATTTCTAGCTCTGATATCCCAGGGGTCCTTGCTGCAGGGGTGGCATTAGATTTTACACAGCTCGTAAAGAAGTAAGTCAGATATGCGGATGGCACCACCGAGTTAGCTAAATCGAAGTGGGGGCCCACTAATTAAGTCAGAAACATGTGGTACCCACTTAGTATGTCAGATATGCATATGGGACCTCTGAGTTACCTTAATAGAATTAGTGCAGAAACATATAGGTACCCTTTAAGATCATGCTTATGGGACCACTAATTTAGCTAGATAGAATTAGGGACCCACTAATTAAGTCAGAAACATATAGGTACCCATTAAGAACATGCATATGGGACGAATTAGCTAGATAGAAGAAGGGACCCACTAAGAAGGTCAGAAATATATTGTGACCCAGTGACAATGTTAGTTGAGATTTGTAGGGACAGACTTAGTCAAGCAATTGTTTTATTGAATTTCTATTTTCTACTTGCTTGTGGCAAATACATTTAAATTATTAATTAGAGAAAAACATAAAATCATTAATTAATACTTTAAAGCTATCTGTATGGTAGTAATGAACTTGGTAAAAAGATAACACAAGTTAGTTGCTTTTTTGTTTGTACACAAAGTATTGGTTGAATGTGGCGTGTTGGTTAAATTTATATTACAATATTTAATGTAGGTACACTGTTAGAGGATGGAGTGGTGGGGTGGGAGAGCCTATGATTGCTTGCTGGAAAGCCACAGTGAGGCTTGTTAATTTAAACATGTTGGAGGAAATCTACGCTAGCATTACAAATAAGACTGAAAAAATGTTTTAAAATTTTAGATGTCAACATTTGATGTTGAATTCTGTTGGGTACAAGACTGTATGCCAGTATCATGCAGCTGCAGCTAAGGTAGATACTTGACACAGTGTGTTGTTTGATATTTGATAGTGTGTTGTTGGTTTATTGACACAGTGTGTTGTTTGTTTATTAACACAGTGTGTTGTTTGTTTATTGACACAGTGTGTTGTTTGATTTTTGATAGTGTGTTGTTTGTTTATTGACACAGTGTGTTGCTTGTTTATTGATATAGTGTGTTGTTTGTTAGTGAGATAAGGGGGTCACCCATATATAACATAATTCTTTTCTGCAATGTTTTTTCCCCACATTCCCATAGTCACATATCAATCATCACAAATAATAAGACCCCTTCCATCACTGACAATCCACATTATCCAAACCTCTCTTCCAAATTACACTTTTGCTTTTTCAAATAGATATTTATAGTATTGATTGAAATGGGACAAAATAAGATATAAATTATTATTTAAATTTAAGAAGAAATAAGTGCAAAAACCCAGTTTTAAAAACTTTTCCTAATGCCAAAATTTGGTCTCTTTTTTAACCCATTCTCTGAATCACAAGTCTCACAAGTTAATTTATTGTGTTATGTATTATTAGGTTGATATCTTGTATTATGTATGATTATGTTGTTACCTTACATTGATATACACCTATTGTGTTGTGTATCAATATGTTGATATCTTGAATTATGTATGATTATGTAGATATGTTGCATATCATTATGTTGATAAGGTGTGTTATGTATCATTATATTGATACATTGTGTTGTGAATAATTATGTTGGTACCTTATGTTATGTATTATTATACTAATAACTTGCATTATGTTTTAGCATGATCTATCAGATGTCATCAATCTTTGTGAAAATTGGCTTTTTCTAAACTTAATTCCCCAAGTAAGGCACTCTACTTTGGTTTCATAGAAATGACATTAGCCTAATCTAAGTCAAATATTCACACCTATTTAGTTGAAATTATCATTATGAAAATTCATATTATGATACAATGATTTTTTTCTGATAATTTATTTTATCTGAAGCTCCTATTACCAGTGCTTTCCATTTGGTTCTCTTTATTTAAAACAGATATAAACAATTTATAAATTAATTACAATTATTAAAATTTGAATCTAATTTTAGCTGTCTCAGTACATTCAACTAAGGGAGATCAACTGTGATCTGCTGCAGAGTATAATCAAATCTAGCAGGTAATTTAATCAAATCTAGCAGGTAATTTAATCAAATCTAGCAGGTAATTTGATCAAATCTAGCAGGTAATTTAATCAAATCTAGCAGGTAATTTAATCAAATCTAGCAGGTAATTTAATCAAATCAAGCAGGTAATTTGATCAAATCTAGCAGGTAATTTGATCAAATCTAGCAGGTAATTTAATCAAATCTAGCAGGTAATTTAATCAAATCTAGCAGGTAATTTAATCAAATCTAGCAGGTAATTTGATCAAATCAAGCAGGTAATTTGATCAAATCTAGCAGGTAATTTAATCAAATCTAGCAGGTAATTTAATCAAATCTAGCAGGTAATTTAATCAAATCTAGCAGGTAATTTAATCAAATCAAGCAGGTAATTTGATCAAATCAAGCAGGTAATTTGATCAAATCTAGCAGGTAATTTAATCAAATCTAGCAGGTAATTTAAGCAAATCAAGCAGGTAATTTGATCAAATCTAGCAGGTAATTTAATCAAATCAAGCAGGTAATTTAATCAAATCAAGCAGGTAATTTGATCAAATCTAGCAGGTAATTTAATCAAATCTAGCAGGTAATTAAATCAAATCTAGCAGGTAATTTAATCAAATCAAGCAGGTAATTTGATCAAATCTAGCAGGTAATTTAATCAAATCTAGCAGGTAATTTAATCAAATCTAGCAGGTAATTTGATCAAATCTAGCAGGTAATTTAATCAAATCTAGCAGGTAATTTAATCAAATCTAGCAGGTAATTTAATCAAATCAAGCAGGTAATTTGATCAAATCTAGAAGGTACTTTAATCAAATCTAGCAGGTAATTTAATCAAATCTAGCAGGTAATTTAATCAAATCTAGCAGGTAATTTAATCAAATCTAGCAGGTAATTTAATCAAATCTAGCAGGTAATTTGATCAAACCTAGCAGGTAATTTAATCAAATCTAGCAGGTAATTTAATCAAATCTAGCAGGTAATTTAATCAAATCTAGCAGGTAATTTAATCAAATCTAGCAGGTAATTTGATCAAATCAAGCAGGTAATTTGATCAAATCTAGCAGGTAATTTAATCAAATCTAGCAGGTAATTTAAGCAAATCAAGCAGGTAATTTGATCAAATCTAGCAGGTAATTTAATCAAATCAAGCAGGTAATTTAATCAAATCTAGCAGGTAATTTGATCAAATCTAGCAGGTAATTTAATCAAATCTAGCAGGTAATTTAATCAAATCAAGCAGGTAATTTGATCAAATCAAGCAGGTAATTTGATCAAATCTAGCAGGTAATTTAATCAAATCCAGCAGGTAATTTAATCAAATCTAGCAGGTAATTTAATCAAATCTAGCAGGTAATTAAATCAAATCTAGCAGGTAATTTAATCAAATCAAGCAGGTAATTTGATCAAATCTAGCAGGTAATTTAATCAAATCTAGCAGGTAATTTAATCAAATCTAGCAGGTAATTTAATCAAATCTAGCAGGTAATTTAATAAAATCTAGCAGGCAATTTAATCAAATCTAGCAGGTAATTAATCAAATCTAGCAGATAATGTAATAAAGTCCAGCAACATATTCAATCATGTCTAACAGGTAATTTAGTTAATTCTAGATTCTTATTTAATTACTTATTTCGGGTAATCAACTCAATTCTTTCAGGTAATTTACCCAGGTCTAAGTCATTACTTTTATCCTCCACCATGCTACTGTAAGTTAAAATAAGCAACTTCAGATAATAAAACTTCAGATAGTAAAATGATTTGTGGTATTTAACAATCTACATTAACAAAATTTATTTGATCTGTTTTGACCTAGACTGTTCACATTTAATGAGTACAGTGTGTACAAGTGCCTGGCCATGTGGTTGTTCCTTGTTCTCAATCCTCATGTCCACCAGATGCCCCAGTACAGCACTGTTGTTGCTTATTTCAACAGGTAAAACTGTACAGCACTGTTGTTGCTTATTTCAACAGATAAAATGACGAGAGCATTGCACATCTTATCTTTGAATAAATTGTCTTGCCAGATCAATTAAGATTCTGCATGCCACTTGCAATAGCACCCTTTCATGACTTGTGATAAATGAGTAGATGAATTAGAGTTAATCTGTTTCTGTGATAAGGGCATGATGAAGGACTGTGCATGGTCAGCATGATGTTCTGCTGAGTTTACTTTCCCTGACTCAGGTACTAATTAGAGCTGGGTGAACTCAGGGACACCCTAGATGGGCCTCCATGAGCTGGTGAGGTGAACTGAAGACTTTAGGATTCACTCTACTGCTAGACCATGTCTTCCTGCATTCAAATGTAACAAAGTTATTACCATGTGATATTAAATTGGTAATTTTCAAAAATATCTTTTCTTTCTGAAAAATGTTAACTTTTAGAGCTATTATTTAGTAATTTGAGTAAAAAATATAAACCCTTCTTTGATTGTTTCATAAAGCATTCACCTTACTTGCCTGTGACTTACCTAGTAATTCAAGTAGAGTTAATTTGCTTTGTGTTGGTAAAATAAACAAACAAGTCAGTTAATGATGCAAGTTTGGCGGGCAGGATGGTATTGTATGATCCTAGCAAACTCTTTTAGTCCTGGAGCTAATTCATAGCTAGCAGTTTAGCAACATGGAGTTTATAATATCCTGGTACCATACATGTTTTGTTGATTCAGCTTCCCTAAGGCATCACTTAGTGTAGCACCATGGAGTTTATAATATCTTGGTACCATACACATTTTGTTGTTGCAGCTTCCCTAAGGCATCACTTCTTGAAGCTTAGCACCATAGTCTTTATACAATATACTTGTAACACTGATATTTTGTTGTTGCAGCTTCCCTAAGGCATCACTTAGAACTAGTATTGTAGCACCTTAGTATTTATACTCTATACTTGTAACACTGATATTTTGTTGTTGCAGCTTCCCTAAGACCTGCTCCTATCTAGAGACGGAGGAGGGAGAACCATTCACAGCCTTGTTTTCTTATATTAGACTTTGTGGGATCATCAACAGTAAGTTTCAAAAGTTAAATCTGATCCATTTTTTCCCCTCCACGGTTATATGTGATGTTTTGTTATTTATTATTTACTTGCAGTATACTCATAATTGTCAAATTATTATTTAAATATTTAAAAAAATAATTGCAACTTTCTAGCTAGTGTTTATGAAATTATTTGTTTAATTCTTAAATAGTTTTATTTTAAAGCCAGTGTTTATGAAATTATTTTAACATTTTAAAGCCATTCTTAATAAAAAGATTTTGTTTGACATTGCAACAAATAACTTTGTTTTAAAGCCAGTGAGATCCATGAGATGCAGCTAATGAACATCATGCCCCAGATCTGGCTGGTTGACCTACTCTCACAGCACTACAGGGCGGTACGTCTGTTGCTGTCTATATTACCTTATGCATGTTGTCCTATTATAGTTGCATTAGAGAAGTCTGCATGTTGCTGTCTATATTACCTTATGCATGTTGTCCTATTCAAATTGCCTCAGAGAAGTATATATGTTTTTTATCTACATTAAACAATACATGTTAGCCTACCATGAAAATTGCTGTCTGTTTTTTTTATCTAAATTAAACAATGTTTGTTAGCCTACCATAACAATTGCTTAGAGAAGTACATCTGTTTTTTACCTAAACTACACAATACATGTTAGCCTACCGTGAAAATTGCTTTAGAGGAGTACGTCTGTTGTTATCTAAATTAAATGATGCTTTTTAGCCTACCATTTAAAGTATCTTTAGAGCAATATGTTTTTTCTTTCAAAGATTAAATTATGCATCTTATTCTACCAGAAAATATAGCTATAGATCAGCACATTTTTTTCTATCTAAAATTAAACAGTTAAATAACCTTAAGGAGAGGGCCATTAGACTGGCATGCAAAATAATATAAGATTCCTCTTTAGATCTAGTCACCATTGGCCAGGTGAAGTAGTATTCATATGTTCTTGATGTTGGCATACGAAGGGATGATGTTAAGCTAACATGCATGATTAATTTTTATTCTTCTAATTTTTTTGAGAGTTTAATTTTTTTAAATGCTTTTATTTTATTGTACACCAATATCTCTCCACTGTCAGTACATTTGTAGACATTTTATTTGAATAGTTTTTATAATAATTTTTTTTAAAATTGTGTTTCACTGTGATTGCTAATAGTTTACAAATATTTCATCAGCTTCACTGTGGGGGTGATATGGCAGGAATGAAACAATTTGACTGTGCCTCAATCAGGCAGGGCTTTGTGATAGATGAAGTAAGGACTCAAATCTCCTAAAAAGTTAACATTTCTTTCATCTATATATATAAAGCAAAGTGGTCAAGTGCCCGATAGGGCACTTCCCGGCGCCGCAGGCGCGTCAAATTTGGCACGATGGTGCCTTGGGGCAATAGAACACGAGGGCCGGTGACGGTTGGCGGAAAAGTCCACGGAGAGGGGGTCAAAACTGACCTCGACTGACCGGCGCCTTATATGAGCTCTATTACGAAAAAAAATTTCCTCCGACGACCCCCCTTGAAATTTTGTGAGGTGGTAGGAGAACGCCTTGGGGTGTCACAAAAAACTCGCCATGTCCGGGAAAATTCGTTAAATGGGTCAAAACTGACCAATCTTATTTCCCTATATAATCTTTGTATTTTATGGGAAAAACAGAGGGTGATTTCAAAACGGATTTGAGGGCACTTACCCTCTTTACATCTGGCTAATTTTTTGCATGCTCTTAGGTAAATGGCTTGACCTTTAGGGAAAACTGTCGGTTTCACTCAAAGCCCTCGACGGGGGCTAAAAAGTGACCGCGAGTGAAATTCTCTTTATATGAGCTCTATTACGAAAAAAAATTTCCTCCGACGACCCCCCTTGAAATTTTGTGAGGTGGTAGGAGAACGCCTTGGGGTGTCACAAAAAACTCGCCATGTCCGGGAAAATTCGTTAAATGGGTCAAAACTGACCAGTCGTATTTCCTTATATAATCTTTGTATTTTATGGGAAAAACAGAGGGTGATTTTAAAACGGATTTGAGGGCAATTACCCTCTTTACATCTGGCTAATTTTTTGCATGCTCTTAGGTAAATGGCTTGACCTTTAGGGAAAACTGTCGGTTTCACTCAAAGCCCTCGACGGGGGCTAAAAAGTGACCGCGAGTGAAATTCTCTTTATATGAGCTCTATTACGAAAAAAAATTTCCTCCGACGACCCCCCTTGAAATTTTGTGAGGTGGTAGGAGAACGCCTTGGGGTGTCACAAAAAACTCGCCATGTCCGGGAAAATTCGTTAAATGGGTCAAAACTGACCAGTCGTATTTCCCTATATAATCTTTGTATTTTATGGGAAAAACAGAGGGTGATTTCAAAACGGATTTGATGGCACTTACCGTCTTTACATCTGGCTAATTTTTTGCATGCTCTTAGGTAAATGGCCTGACCTTTAGGGTAAACTGTCGGTTTTACTCAAAGCCCTCGACGGGGGCTAAAAAGTGACCGCGAGTGAAATTCTCTTTATATGAGCTCTATTACGAAAAAAAAATTCCTCCGACGACCCCCCTTGAAATTTTGTGAGGTGGTAGGAGAACGCCTTGGGGTGTCACAAAAAACTCGCCATGTCCGGGAAAATTCGTTAAATGGGTCAAAACTGACCAGTCGTATTTCCCTATATAATCTTTGTATTTTATGGGAAAAACAGAGGGTGATTTCAAAACGGATTTGATGGCACTTACCGTCTTTACATCTGGCTAATTTTTTGCATGCTCTTAGGTAAATGGCCTGACCTTTAGGGTAAACTGTCGGTTTTACTCAAAGCCCTCGACGGGGGCTAAAAAGTGACCGCGAGTGAAATTCTCTTTATATGAGCTCTATTACGAAAAAAAAATTCCTCCGACGACCCCCCTTGAAATTTTGTGAGGTGGTAGGAGAACGCCTTGGGGTGTCACAAAAAACTCGCCATGTCCGGGAAAATTCGTTAAATGGGTCAAAACTGACCAGTCGTATTTCCCTATATAATCTTTGTATTTTATGGGAAAAACAGAGGGTGATTTCAAAACGGATTTGATGGCACTTACCGTCTTTACATCTGGCTAATTTTTTGCATGCTCTTAGGTAAATGGCCTGACCTTTAGGGTAAACTGTCGGTTTTACTCAAAGCCCTCGACGGGGGCTAAAAAGTGACCGCGAGTGAAATTCTCTTTATATGAGCTCTATTACGAAAAAAAATTCCTCCGACGACCCCCCTTGAAATTTTGTGAGGTGGTAGGAGAACGCCTTGGGGTGTCACAAAAAACTCGCCATGTCCGGGAAAATTCGTTAAATGGGTCAAAACTGACCAGTCGTATTTCCCTATATAATCTTTGTATTTTATGGGAAAAACAGAGGGTGATTTCAAAACGGATTTGATGGCACTTACCGTCTTTACATCTGGCTAATTTTTTGTATACACCTCTATAGATGACTACGCCGTATGGAAAAACTGTTGATCTGACTTAAAGCCCTCTAAGAGGGCTAAAAATGACCGCGAGTGAAATTCTCATTATACGAGATTTGTTCATTTGGTCTATGAACAGGGGAGGTAACTTTTTAATGTAGGCCTAATAATTTTTAAATATTTTGTATACTCTTTTCAAGAAAAAAACAAAAATCAAAAAGTATAGCATTGTTTTAAATAAATATTTTGTTATAAATTAAGTTTTGCATTGTACTGAAATTGTAAAAATTAATTGCGAAAGTAATTTATTATAATATTTGATTGATACTATTAACAAACCCCTTGCAGTTCTAATTACCGTGCGAGTAATAAGTTTGCGAATATTCCATCAATATTTGGGAGACATGTAACTCAACTGTAGCCTATAAATTTAGGCCCTAAGCATTTAACATAGCAGCCAATCACCTATTAATTAATCATTCAATTCCTCAATTTTTTTGAAAACCTAAGCGAAGCTAGGCAGTATGCCTAGTTATAATATAAAATAGATGAAATTAGTACTATAATCTTCTAAAAAGTTAATATTTCTTTAATTGTTATTTATAATAGATGAAATTAGTAATATAATATAAAAAAGTTAACATTTTTTATTGTAGTTACAAATTGCCCATATTTTATTTTTTTAAATATATTTTTATTATGATAGTATAAAAATAGATATTTTGAGAATGTAAGTAGGGCTGATTTATTAATGTTTTAATGCTACTTGTTGTATTATTTATTAAAAGGGCATTAACTACCACTCTGAGCTTCTCTCCCTGTATGGGTTTCATTTTGAGCTGAATGCCATCAAGAGTGATATGGAGAACAGCACATTCCAGTTTTATTTACAGGTAGTTGCATGTGTGCATTTCCTTGAATTAACAATACAGCATTGAGGAAAAGAGTAGGTTGTATAAAAAAAGAGTGTCTTGTTTTATTATTTTCATTGTGTTTACATTTTAAACTTAAAAAAAATATTTACTATCTTGTATAGAACTTGTTTCTGACACAAGTTCTCTGTTTTTGTCACTACTTTCTTAAATCAGTTTTAGTTACCAAGCTTTGTTTTTTTTTTGTTTTTTTTTTAAATTTTGTCTAATGTGGTTTTTACTTTAAGATTTAGAATAAACTCAGTTTAGATAACCTAATGAATCAACATATCTCAATGCTACATTTTAAAAAAAAATCTGTCTACATAAGCTAAAGCCAGTGACAAAACTGCTGATTTTTAACTAGTCTTAAAATACTTTCTCACAGCCCTCAGATGCCCTAAATAACTGACCTTACTGTTGATAGATTATCAAGTAGTCTTTAAATATTTCCTCATTGTCCACAAAGGCTTATCCAACTGACCAACTGTTAATATTTAATGAAGAATTTAAGAATATTATCTTATTGTCTACAAAGGCTTATCCAACTGACCAACTGTTAATATTTAATGAAGAATTTAAGAATATTATCTCATTGTCCACAGAGGCTTATCAAACTGACCAACTGTTAATATTTAATGAAGAATTTAAGAATAGTATCTCATTGTCCACAGGGGCTTATCCAACTGACCAACTGTTAATATTTAATGAAGAATTTAAGAATATTATCTTATTGTCTACATAGGCTTATCCAACTGACCAACTGTTAATATTTAATGAAGAATTTAAGAATATTATCTCATTGTCCACATAGGCTTATCAAACTGACCAACTGTTAATATTTAATGAAGAATTTTAAAAAATATTACCTCATTGTCCACAGAGGCTAAAACCAAGTGACCCTATCCTGGGCTTCCACCAGTATGAGAGGAACACCTTCTCCCTGAGGTCTGAGCGAGACGTCCACTACATGATTACAGTAGAGTTCCTGAGTGAGGGGAACCTGTGTGTGGAAACTACCGGAATCTTGACTCAGAAATTTGGACTGGGTAAAAAATCCAGCAAAAGTCAGGTCACTGGAGTTCATTTTATCATTACAAAATAATTAATCAGACAAATTATAGTTTTTAAATAGCTGTTTTAATGTAGTATCATAGTTTTAAATGCAGTTTATACTTTTTTAAGCATCAAATTAAAAGTTAACTTACAGGGCTGTTCTGTAATTATTTTTATTTAAAGTTAAAATAATGCTCAAAATTACTATTATTAAACAAATATTAAATATAAAGTAGAGCATAATCAAAATTGTAGTGTAGGTCTAATTTCCTCTAATAAAAACATCTCCTTATTTCCAGGTTTTGTCAATCAGCATGATAAACAAACCTTTGTTTGTTTCCTACAAGATTTTCTTCCCACCTTCATAGACAACTCTTCACATACAGTTGTTGCTTCCCCTGATAGACATGGCATTCTGTCAGCATGAAACAGCAATTTTTTGTTTTGTTTCATAATTCAGGTGTTTCAATCAAGATTAGCACTCAGTTGTCATTTAATTATAATTAATAGAGATAATAAGTTTCATATGGACTCATGTGTAAGAGAAAAATTTTACATTTCAATCTCAAATTAGTAGTCTCATGGTATTGTTCATAACACAGTGTTTATAGAAATATTTTTTTTAAATGGTCATGGGATAGGCTATATGTGTATACATTCATACACACACATATATATATATATATATATATATATATATATATATATATATATATATATATATATATATATATATATATGCACACACACAATAGTATGCATGAAGTCAAACGTTTTAATAAGTACTTTTATCACATGTGTGTTATAATTCTATTAAAATTTAAAGCATTTTTCTTTAAAGAAAATTTAGAAAATTTTCATATAATGAAAATATGATTTATGCTTTATTTTGCGTGGACTTAACCGACATATTGAAAAAATATATAACTTATATCACTTATATAGTAAAAATAAACTTTTGCAAACTTTTGTTCTCAACACCAGATGTCTGAAATTATGGACTAAGGGGGGCAGCCCAGTTAATACTTTTTGGAAAAAGAATCAAAGCTCGGTTAATTCCCTTTATTAAAAAATATTTTCGGCCCAAAAAATATCTTTTACATTTAAATTTTACTTACTGCAGAAACCTATCTTCAACAGCAGCCGCCATCTCTATAACACTTAAAAACCCTAATAGACCTAGCCATGTACCTTTCCATTTCCCTTTATTATAGCATTTTGAAATATGAGTAAATAGCCGCTGACTTTCCTGTGAAGCATCACAGCATTAAAATTAAGGGCTGAAGTTACATCTCTCCAGTAGACCAAATTTTAGGAAGCTCTCATCTTAATTCCATGACTTCCATTAGTCCTATATTATTTTGCTAGAAATGTCCACATTTCTTTGCCTTTGGGTTTCATTGTAAAGCTTGCTTCACTTTGTTTTCTTCCCACACTTTCAACTAGTTTGTTTTTAACCTACCGCTGTTTCTCTTATAAAATACACATAATCTTGTATGTCTTTTCATAGAATAGTAATAGTATACGCTAACTAAATATTGCATATGAGATTTTAGGAGGGAAAAGTTGGTCAAGGACATTTTACGTGAAGACTAGAAATAAATAACAAAAACAGTGGCATTAAAAATATAATTTTATCAATTGCAAGGCATATGTACATAATCAATTTATACAAAACTAATCAAATTATACAAAACTAAAATAAAACATAAGAACACATCAGTGGTGGGTTTCTGTTTTTACCTTTCACTAATTAAGTTTTAAGACAATATAAATTTTATGACAAATTTACTGCTGAGGTACACATTAACAAAGAGAATCAAAATTAAATGAAAACAATTAATCCTAATGTAGTCTTTACTAAAGCACAGAAAATAAAAATAAAAATAGAAACGCTAATAAAAAAAGGTAAAAAAAGGTAAAATAACATTTGTATTTTACTCAAACTCTAAAATGTACAAACATAATAATACTGTTGGCGCATAAGCTTCTTGCACCAAATTTAAACCAATTAGATTTTAAAGTAAAATTTTAATTACAAAAAATAAATGTTTTATCAAAACATAAAAATTTAAGATGTTTTCTACATTTATACACAAGATAAAAAATACATTTTTCTTACAACAAATTATATTTTTATAAAAGTATAAATTGGAATATATTAAATAAAATACACAGCTCTGTTATAATTAGAGAAATTAATAAGTAGCCAATAGAAATTATCGAGACAAAGGTCAATGCTTAAAATGTTTTAATTTACTAAAATATTTTTAAAATAATAAGTTTAAAAAAAAATATTTTAAGAAAAACATTCCATATAATACAGAAATATTGAAAATAAAGTGACTTTTTCAGACCTGGGGTGGTCAATAGGGCAGACGAAGTAGATTTCAATAAGGAAATTACGTAATAATATATAGATATATAATAACAACAATCAGTTCTATACAACATAGAGAACTTGTATTCTACACAACACACACAAGTTCAATGTGACACAGAGCACTTGTGTCAGAAACAAGTTCTATTCAACACCAAATATCATCTAGAAACAAGTTCTATACAACACAGAAAACTTGTGTCAGAAACAAGTTCTATACAACACAGAAAACTTGTGTCAGAAACAAGTTCTATACAACACAGAGAACTTGTGTCAGAAACAAGTTCTATACAACACAGAGAACTTGTGTCAGAAACAAGTTGTATACACACAGAGAACTTGTGTCAGAAACAAGTTCTATACAACACAGAAAACTTGTGTCAGAAACAAATTCTATACAACACAGAAAACTTGTGTCAGAAACAAGTTCTATACAACACAGAGAACTTGTGTCAGAAACAAGTTTTATACAACACAGAGAACTTGTGTCAGAAACAAGTTCTATCCAACACCAAATATTATCAAGAAACAAGTTCTATAAAATACAGAGAACTTGTGTCAGAAACAAGTTCTATACAACACCAAATATTATCTAGAAACAAGTTCTATAAAACACAGAGAACTTGTTTCAGAAACAAGTTCTATACAACATAGAACTTGTGTCAGAAACAAGTTCTATACAACACAAAATATTATCTAGAAATAAGTGCTATACAACACCAAATATCATCTATACAACATAGAGAAGTTGTATTCCAATGTTCATAAATTGTAAGCTGCCAAAGTTCAACAAACAGAATACACAATGCTGTAGTAAAACATTCATTAACCAATTAAAACATAATTACCCTGTTTTTCGCAGACCAACATTAACATTCAATGATGAGAAATGATTGACAGATTTTCATCTTACCACATTAATCAAAGCAAGGGTCACTGCCCTATATTTAAACAACAGACTTGCTCAAGTTTTTTGGTGCACTGACATCTTTAACTAACAACCAAAGAGAGGGGTTTAATTTATCTACACTGGAAACAGCTTGTGTAATGCAATTTCCCCACATAGCTCAAATTTTTCCTAGACTAATCCAGTCAGAAATCAGAAAATTTTAGATAAACGTTAATATCAATAAAAGTTGAAGCAAACTTTTAAAAATAAATTCTCTTCAAAGGGAAAAAATTAATTTGCTAATATATAGAAATTAATCTTAATTTTTGAAAAAATATTTCTAAGAAAAAAAGAGTTGTTTATAATCTAATATAACAATACCATTTTATTCAGTTGTATCTGCCTATAAAATAACACTAAAACAAAATGGCTACAGTGGTAGGCTATTGGATGATTGTGCTGTGGAAATCAGAGTGAAAGGACTTTACCTGTATAACATAGCTTTAGTTGTATAAGAAGAACAGCCTAAAGGATATTGGTAAAAAATTGATCAAGGTTTTTTTTGTGTTAAATTAAATTGAGATTTTGCATGTTAATTGCCATTTTTATTTCCACAGATCTAGTAGCTTAACATTTTATAACATATTGTGTGACAAAAGCTACCTTGATTTTTACAGTGTAACATGAATTGAACAACAAAAAAAGCTAATGAACACATCTTTGAAGCTTAATCTACAGCAGGTATCAAACATTCAGTATCACATCAAATATCCCCACCCCCTTAACATAATGCCACTTCTTATCACCGCCCCCAACCCCCTCCCCCATTACAGCAGGAGCAGATCATTCAATATCACATATCGTCACCCAAAATCATAACAACACCTTTAACCACCCCCCCCCAACACACCAACTTTAATTATTACATCCCCACTGATCACATTCCCTTTCATTCACCACATTCCCCTTTTAATCACACCTAAGTATTACACCCCCAACCATCACAGTAATTGAAAAAAAAATGGTTAAAATGGAAAAAAAAACAATGTATGTAACATATGATTCTAAAAAAAACAATGTATGTAACATATGATTCTAAAAAAAAAAACCAAACCACCAACAAAAGGTCTTGGTTATAGCCAGCTTTTGTCTTTCTACACAGGAGCAGAGCTTAAAATCAATACCATTGTAATAGGACACCTCACAAACTTGGCCTAAATAGTGTTTAAATCCTTTTAACATGCCCTGACGCAGTTTAAAGATACACAAAACTGCTGATTAACTAGGATTATGCTGCTGATTAACTAGGATTAAGCTTGATTAACTCTAGATTAAGCTGCTGATTAACTCTAGATTAAGCTGCTGATTAACTCTAGATTAAGCTGCTGATTAACTCTAGATTAGGTTGCTGATTAACTCTAGATTAAGCTATAGTGTAAAACTCGAATTATCTCATAATATAGGATGTTCTTACTTTATGCCTAGTACTTGTATACAGAATTATCAAATCAAAATGTTTCATTAACTAGTTTTCTTAAAAAAATAAAAATGGTAGTACTTATTACAAAATATATTTTTAACCAACCAAGAACATTGTTACATCTGAGTCTGTCTATGATAGGCTCGACCAGATCCTATGTTCAGTGGCTCAACAAATAGTGTGTTGCATTGTTTCTCTTCAGCCCCTCTACTTTAGGTGTCTTTCACCACTCTTTCCTTGGGTGGTTTTCTGCCAAACTGAAGCTTGCGTCGAACTCGACACAGGGGGGCTGAAATCAATGTTTTATTGGCTCAATTTATTCAGTTCATCTATAACACTAATTAGTTTAACAAATAAATAGAATATCAGGTATCATGTTTTCACAGTGAAAAGAAGAAATACAGCTGATGCAGATCTTCACATTAGGATATTGACTCCACAAAAACATTACCAACTACACATTTGTTTACCAAACATCAACTCACCATACAGCAAGTGTAAAAAAAAAATTTAAATATTTTCTAATGTAACATGAAAGATACTATCAGCATCCTCCTTTACCTATGTCACAGAATAAGCAAAAAATACAATTGTTGCCCCCAAACACAAACACCCCCCCCCCCCCAACAATCAACTTAAAACTCGATCTTTCCTTCTCACTTAATTGCATGAAAAAATTAATCATTCCTTCACACAATCACCCAAAACAAAATCTTGCCCCCCTCCCCTGCACAAGTAAAAACTTACCATCTCTAACAAATCTCCCCCTCCCCCGCCCCAAACATATCTATACACTTACCATCTCCAGGGTTCGTACTGCTTTTTGAAAATGAAATTCCAGACTTTTTCCAGACATTTTCCAGACTTTTTTGGAAAAATTCCAGACTTTAGGCAGATAATGTGTTAGCGAATAATTTTTTAAAATGATGCACTATTTGTACTGTCATTATAATTACTCATACTAAATTGACATTTATTTTAGGCAATTGAGCTATATTCATAGTGAACTTTCTCTAGCCAAATTGACAAAAAAACATTTTTTCTAAGTTTGCCTAAAATTTTAACAATTAAAATAATTGATTAAAATGATGCAACTATTTTGTTTCCAACATTAGACTTATGTAATCTGTTCCTGATCTAATTGCTTATGTTTTCAATTAAACTATCATTAAAATGGTATTGCATAATAGTGAGAGTTAATTACTTCAAAGAATAATAATTTAATGTATTAATTTAGGTCTGCTCTTGTTAAGTAGCCTAAATAAATATATGCTACTTGTAAAAAAAAATGTGGAGCAAAAAAAAAAAAAATCATTCACTGTTTGTGCTTATAGTAATAGCTGAGAAACGGGTCTGCAATTAAAAAAAAAGTTGCCGGTATCCTTCTTCCCCCCCCCCCCCCCCCCACAGACACGACACGGTGAAGGGGTCACTGTGAGGTCATAGTAGTCTAGACTTCAGTATGCCTGTTTAATACGTCATAACATGAACTGTGCTGTGACTTATACCCCCTCCCCCACCCTACTTACCAAGAAGTACCAACTACGTACTTGGGGTTACGGTGAGTTCACACAAGTGACCGATGTTACAAGGAGGGGCGGGGTAGTCTAACTTTAATCGTCAGCATTTGCAAAGATTTCAAAAACAGTTTAATGGAAGGTGAATTACAATTAAAGGGGTCATCCATTTATGACGTACACATGGAGGGGGGAAGGGGTCGGAAGATTTTGTGATTACATTCTAAAACAAACATAAAACTTGTATCTAGCAAGTAGAAAGTAAAATTAAGACGACTGTGCTGGTGTTTTAAAAACCATCACAGCGTGTATATAAAACACGGTATTTATATCTGCCCTAACATTATTGCAAGAGCGTGTCGTCACAATTTATAAAACCCTCCTCCCGACTTTCCGGAGTGTGACGTCATTTATGGACGACTCCTAAATAAAAATAGTACCTCTTTGTTAAGCTGAAGCAAACAGAAATATAGGTATGAACCCAAGGAGGCCTTGCGACTTATTAATCTTATAAATGTTATTATATTAATCCAAAGTAAGGGAACGCGTGTGGACAGAGGGCGGGGGAGTGGGGAAGGGGGGGGTCTAAAATCCAAAAAAATGTTGTAAGTCATAAATGGATGACACCTTACAGCTGATAAATTATATCTAAACTACCACTCACACATCTTCCCCATAACTTTTTGTTATGACTGCCTGCATGCAAACTCAAACGATGAAAAAATAGCGGGTAAAATCGAGAGCCTAACAATCATGACGGCGATCATTCTTTTATTAAACGACAATTGTAAGTACTTGTTTTGTAACACATTCACACGGTCAGTCGTGCCACAAAATATCTCTTCCCTCCCTTCCCCTCTTCTCCCAATGACGTAGATCTAGTAACTGAGCATTTTTTTCTGCAAACCAGCGAAAAAACGTCACAACATAGTGTAAACGCGCGCGATAGCGCGGGAAAAAAATTGGAGTAGATTTACTTAAAAATAGCAATTTTTTAAGTTGGAAAATATGGACTACGAAGTTTTGTTTCTAAAACTAGATTCCAGACTTTTTCCAGACTTTTAAAAAATCCTGCCCAAAAACTAGCGATTTTCCAGACTTTTTTAAGTCTTAAATTCACTTTTTGAAATTTAAGACTTTTTCCAGACTTTCCAGACTGCGTACGAACCCTGCATCTCTATCAAATATCAAATCCCCCCCCCCCCCAACATATCTCTACATTTACCATTGCTAGCAAATATCAAATCCCCCCCCCCCCCAACACATGTAAAAACTTACCATCTCTAACAAACACAGCATCAGTTTCCAAGGATGTAGGCGTGACAAAATGTCCATTCCTGCGACAGGCCTCAGTGCGACGTGTCAGGTACCTGGTGGGGGACAGGGTGACCAGGGGTGTCCGGCACTTTTCTGGCGTTGCTGGAGACACAATAGAAACAACCATTGACATGCTGGGTAGAGACACAATGTAAACAACCATTAACATGCTGGGTAGAGACACAATGTAAACAACCATTAACATGCTGGGTAGAGACACAATAAAAACAACCAGTAACATGCTGGGTAGATGGTGGAACTGGTCTAAGTTCTAAACAAAACCAAATGGTTTTTATTAAACTCAGGCAAGACAGTACAGAATCATAGTGAGGTTTTTCTCTGTGGGGTTGTTATAAGGGGTCGGGTCCAGTGTTAGGGTCAATGCAAGAGTTGGGGTTAGAATCTGTTTAGGTTCAGGGCTAATGAAAGGGTTAGAATCTGTTTAGGGTCAGTATTAGAATCAGGTAGGGTTAGTGTTACGTTTAGACTGTGTTAGGATCAGGGCAGGGGTTAAGGTAACAATGCTGAAGCCTAGAATACAAACTACCAATGTTTTCTAAAGTAACAAATCCAGACATCATCTCAAGCCCTGTCTCAATATCATCTAAACAGTCTCAGCGCTAGCACTGAGTCTTGATACCAAGCCTATATCATCTAAACAGTCTGTGCCGCTCTAGCCCCAAGTCTAGACACCAAGCCCACACTATCTAAACAGTCTGCACCGCTCTAGCCCCACCACACAAACTATTTCACCTGACCTGACAGCCCAAGTGTAGCTATGTCATGACATGATCTGCTCTAGTTCAGTTTTTCAACCACCTTCACAGATCACCAGTTAGATCAATGACTTATTGATTTTTTTCCTCTTCAGTATTAAACTACACAAGCTAAAATGTAACTGACAACCTAATTAGTATTACAAAATTCATATTTAAATAAGTTTACAAAGATGTATATAAGTTATATTTCATGCTAAAGTTGTTGATGTTGGAACTATGCATCTGGACAAGTTCTTATACGAAATTTAAAAAAACTATAAACTACTGCCAAATTAATTTTGTTTTAACAGTCTGCATTAATTGAAATGTCAAGAGGAGTGATCAAAAGAGAGGCCACCAGTCTTTGATTCCTCAACAACCTGACTTGCATATTGCATGAATAGGCTATAAAATACCTCCCCCCCCCCCCCCCCAGTCTGGTGAATAAGGCCGCAAGACCTGGTTGGGTACAGTGACACACTATGTTCTATTGGTAAGGCTGAAATCATTCAATGCCAACACAATTCAGTGTGGAGGGTTGTTAGCATAAAATTAGCATGACAGGAGTGGGGAAAAAATCTTTGTGGTAAAATAAGCAAGGAGGTAGAGGAGGAGACTTTAAACAATTGTTGACTCATTTTATTATTGTATAATATAAGTAGGAATAAAAGAGAGGGGCTGGGGGGGGGGTATAAAAAACATATTCTTTTTAAATATGTCTGAACTGCCTGCTTCAATAAATGTCTAAAGTTTTAAGTCTTATCGATCTCCCCCCCCCCCCCCCCTCTCTCTCTAACAATTGAGACATACTTAATCAATCAAGCCAGTTGCGTCAGTGTTCTTTTCTTATTGAATGCTGTATAGAAACAAGAAAAAAATGTATGTGGGTTAATTAAGGGACGGACCCGAGGTACCCACACGTCACAACCCCCCCCCCCCCCCGCGTGTGTGTGTGTGTGCCAGCCAGCAGGTCGACTGGTGTCGAATCTCTACTGGGACCGTCGTGTGTCAGTGTCACAAGTTCTCATGCGCTGGGCTGGTCAGTGGTGAACATGGGAAAAGAGGGTAAGTCATGGGTTGTTTTTTTTATTTTTTTTTATTTTACAGTACTGACATTGCTTGATGCGTGTTTTATACAAGGTCTGTTAATGTAAGACACGGCCTGTTTTTATAATTTTCAATCTTCTAACCGTGTGCCTGAAACGTCCATTACAAAACAATAGCCGTGATAACTTGGTTTAAAGAGTCGACACACCTATTAGAGAGGATGGGCTGCTTATTTATCTTTAAACACCAACAACTACTTTTTTCGTCAGCGGGCAGTAATGAGATTCTTACATTCGTAACTATGGTAACCGGCCGACGTAATTCTTAACGACGGGCAAATAAATTTAAAAAATCATATCGAGGCTTAACTCATCCTCCTAAAAAACTATACATTCATACATTGGTAGTCACTATAACCAAATTAATTCATATCTATCAACAAGTATTACTGCCGGATTTAATATAATGTTAAGAAAGTAAAACGAAACTACATTTTTTTCTATGTACACCTTAACGCGAATGTCGTTACTGGGTATCGTTGAGTTAATGTCGACCACTCGATACATATTTCATTAGTTTAACGGGGCGCAGACAACTGGGTCTATTATTTACTAGGGTATTGATCTCACTTATCTGAACCGGTGATCTAGGGTTACCTAACTCACACCGAGGGCGCGTGCATTAGACCCAGACGATCACTGAAGATAAGAATCACTGGGGTGGATACACATCTAACGACGGTAGTCCGTTTTATAACGTTGCTAGTTCTTTTAACAACGGCATTACCTTCAATAAAGCAGACAGTCGCTTGTATAACTTCGACATGGGCTCATATAACGGCATTTCCTCACGCAACGTCGGGATTTTCTTCTATAACGTCGGCATATCATCAAAATATAACGTCGCGATTTCCTTATATAGCGTCGGCATATCAGCAAAATATAACGTTGCTTTTTCCTCTTTTAACAATGCCATTCCCTTGAGAATAATGTGCGTAGACAGTCGCTCATATAATGACATTTCCTCACGTAACGTCGCCATTTTCTCATTAAACGTCGCGATTTCCTTATATAGCGTCGGCATATCGTCGAAATATAACGTTGCTATTTCTTCTTTTAACAATTGCATAATGTAGACAGTCGCTCATATAATGGCATACGTCGCCATCTCCTTATATAGCCGTGGAATTAGTACGTAGTGTAGATTACTACCAAAGATCAAACCCTCATGTTAAAAAAAAACAACGCTTCTGACATTATGAAACAAAGCCATTAAACACCCATCGGCTTATTTTTGCCAGTTGGCATTAGCATAAATTATACTCTAGCTTATAATTAACTGTGTGATTTTACTCGCTGTATTTACACACCTGGTCTGACGTAATGAAGTAACAGCTATTAAACAAAACCACCTCTGATATTTTTTGTTCCATACAGGTGATGTAGGCGGCGGACATGGAGTAGCGGAGAGATCGGACGGTAGGTTTTAGGTTATGGGGATAATAGGGGTTCATTTCCGTTTAATGGTACCATAGCTAGACACGTCTAGTGGGATTGAGATCACAGGGGTACATTTCCGTTTGAAGGTACCATAACTAAACACGTCTAGTGGGATTGGGGGTAGGGATCACAGGGGTTCATTTCCGTTTGAAGGTACCATAGCTAGACACGTCTAGTGGGATTGGGGGTAGGGATCACAGGGGTTCATTTCCGTTTGAAGGTACCATAGCTAGACACGTCTAGTGGGATTGGGGGTAGGGATCACAGGGGTTCATTTCCGTTTGAAGGTACCATAGCTAGACACGTCTAGTGGGATTGGGGGTAGGGATCACAGGGGTACATTTCCGTTTGAAGGTACCAAACCGCCATGGCTAGACACGACTAGTAGGATTGGGGCAGGGATCACAATGCTAGACGACAATCAAGGACCTCAGATACGGGAAATGTAGAGATAAAGTAAGAGGGAGGTCAAAAGTTTCTAGAAGAAAAAAAATCTCAGCACGACCCTAACTGAAGTTTTATCCATTATCCGGTGTATAGTGTGTAGTAAACATACAAATATTCTAGTACAGTAGCTAGATCTATTGTTAGGTATCAAAGAGTTGAGTGTGTGTAGATTTACTAATGTGTTCAACTCTTTATTCTATACAGGTGACTATGATCGCATTCGGGCGAGAGGAAGGTATGTGTAACTGTATAACACGGTGTGTAAGTGTACATGTTGAGTAGGTGTATAACACGGTGTGTAACGGTATAACACGGTGTGTAACGGTATAACACGGTGTGTAACTGTACAACACGGTGTGTACCACTATAACACAGTGTTTACGTGTACAACACGGTGAGAAACTATAACACGGTGTGTAACTGTACAACACGGTGTGTAAGTGTACATATAGAAAGAAACATAGAAAATATATATTTAAATCAGTGTCATCCGCCCCCCCCCCCCCCTCTTCTCCGAGAATAAAAAAAATCAAAGGAACACGGCAGGTAGATTTTACATGCCATACAGTGCGCAAATACAAAATAATGTGTATACTATGTTGCATGGCATAGAAATGAAGGGAGGAGGGCTTGGGGGGGGGGGGGGGAATGTCTGCTAACAGCATGTCAAGATGTCACTTTCATGTGTTGGGTTTAAACACGGGCTCAGCCATACATCCCCCTAATTAAACCTGCTCACACCACACAACTCTCACATTAAAACCTGCTCACGTTGTTTCAGGGAGCGCTACATCCACCTGGCCAAACACAAGGAACCAAAGGTGGAATGGTGGACGTGCGTGGGGTGAGTACTTATTCATTATATCACGCGAGCTCTTTGATGCTTCAACATAGTGGACATTAAGTAAATATTGATTAGACTAGCACATGCTTGATGATTATTTTTTTAATTTGAAGCTTAGATGAAAACAGCGGTACTAGCAATAGAATGAAAACTATAACCATCGGGATCCAATGTTGCCAGATTGTTCTAGTGTAAAGTGGACAATTATAAGGTGCAAGAAGCCATACAAAATCTTTCTTTATGATTATACATGGGACTGCGTACTCATATTGAAAGCTTATGACACGTAGGCCGAAGTGAACTCGCGTTCACTAAGTCCAAGAAGATAAAGCAGATGTTACAAATTATATTAAGAGTGACCCGTGTTGAAACGTACTATAACATCTACCGTTGTTTAGGCCACCACAAAACTGGGGGACGCAGGAGCCAATGTGGCCCATCAGTAAGGGAGCCATATCAGCCAACCCCAGCGCTAGAATCAGCACACTGGCGGCGCCAAAACGGAAC